ACATTCATGCGGGAGGCGGTTTCGAAAAACTATGGATCCTTCCACTTGCTAAACAGTGCTTTTGATGAATATAAACAAACGCGACTCTACCGAAACCTTCTCCAAGAGTTAATGATTCTCTCGACAGGTTGTCTCTCCAAATTTGAAAATTTTCAAAGTTATCCAAAACTAAAGTAAAAATAAGTCCAAGAAAAGATCAATGCCCGAAAAGGATGCGAATTTCTTCGGCCTTCAAGGTATAGAGTTAGTAATCCATAGAGAAATTGCAGAGTAAATCGGAGAGAAATTATATGATACTAATTTATACCTGTACAGGGTTATTGAATGAATATTAATTCAATGCAAATTGAGAATTATTAAAGGTAAAATAGGACATATTGCAAAACCTGTATTGAAAATTTCGTACGGTTGGCGGCTAAACATTCTTTATATTTTATACCACATCCATGATTAATTATTAACTACAGCCTCACATGGGATGTAGGCTTTCTGCAAGATTTTTATTTTCGTATGGGGCCTCTCAGATCTTCAAAGATCTGAGATCTCAGCACCGCCGAACTCTTCCCCATATTGTTACCGCTCGCATATTTTATTGTATTTCTGGTGAACCTACATGTAGGGTTCAAGTTTTGACCTTCATAAGTCTATAAAGGCTTTTCCAAAAACTAATCGCTCCCTTTCCTGTGTCAAAAAAATTCCATTTATTTCTTTTATTTACTCTTTTTTTAGTTTCCTCTTTCAAACATCGTCTCTCAGTTATTTAAAAAATGGTATTACGGAGGTAAATAAAGTAGACTACATAAGTGACATGCATTTTTATATAGAAGAATATCGCTGTTCTCAGAAGAAGAGGTGCAATTTCTAGTATTACCTACTTCATGCTATCTGCTTGACCTGGACGATATGATTAACGATTCTGAGAGTGTCTCTAATTTAGTATATGAGGAGACTTTTCCTTTCATCAACGCAAATATAGATGAAAATACCGATGAAAAGTTTTCACATTTTTATTATATTAATTTGAATATTAAAAAGGAAATACGTACTCCAATTTAAAGCACAATTACAGTAATTGTTGTTGTTTCGCCATTGAACATTAGTAACTACGATTCCAAAACTCTTGAACGGTTTTGGGGCCTTGATTGGCGTACATCCTGTGGATTAACTGAAGTGAAAAAATTAATGGAATTTTTTATCATAATTCGATGAATTATGGAGCTCTGAAAGCATTTCTCTATAATAGTTGTGTTCGTTGAGAAATGACAGTAAAAACCAGTTAGTAACGAAATTGAAAGAGTAAAATGTTTTACTCTCCCAAAAAAAGGAAATTTATTGAGTTTTCGTCGCACGGGATTAAGAAAAAATTCGCCAGCAAGTTATATAATAACTGTCTATTTTGGCGGTTAAATTTAAATTCGCATTTATACAGTTTATTATTTCTGGATTTAAGTTTATTCCCAAGTGTTTTAATAAAATTGGCAATTATGTAACATTTCTAATTTATTAATTGTATTAAAAATTTATTGTATTTCATCAGTGATGGAATCATATATGCTTTATAGCCGTCCAAAGGTAAACATATCAATATGTTTTCTCTAATATTTCTCCAAAAGGATGAGGATTGACGTAGAAAGAACCTGCTTTGCAACAACTTGTCGCTTAGATTTTTAGTAAGGATGACTGAAATACGAAAATGTAAGCCGGCCATATGAACTCAACACTGTTATAGAGTTTATTAGATTCTGTTTAAATAAAAATCAAACAAGAGCTTTATTTTTCCTTCTAAGCGCCACTAATATTTCCTTTTTTTGCATCGTCGTCGCTTCCGGAAGTTTAAGAATGCATTAACCTCATTGTTGCCGCAGCAGCAGTTTTGCTTCGAATTTGTTATGCGGATCCTTAGGTCGCCGCTGCTTTTTGGTAAATTATAGAAATTCAAAGTCAATCGTAGTACTAGAAATAATAATGTTTTCCGATTCTATGCCTTCCTAACTTCTCATTTCTCAACGGAAGCTGGGTAGTGTGCGAGCGATGATTCCACTCCACTGCCACCACGTTTTAGTTTAACGAGTACCTTTACTAGTGTTGGAATCATTGATATAGTTCAGTTAAATTAAACAACATTAACCCATTTATTTTGTTAGTATACCAATTATATTGAAGAATTAATATTATTTTCGTTTCAAATCAAATTTTGTTTTGTTGACAAAAATTCAATTACAGGATCACAAATCAGCTGTTTTCATTCTTGCTAGTTTTTACTGGTTCAAATTTTCCCAGCACGAATTTGCAACTTTCTCTACGTTACCAATTTTTAGTAGGTTTTTGGCTCAACGAACATCATCCAGCAATGTTCGGTAAAAATTGTTCCTTCTAACGAACTATTGACCACATCTTCAAAAAATACGCAGGGTTTCGGTCGTACTCTACTACAATACATATATGGTAATTGATAGTAGGTATTTTTACTGAAAAAAATCCTCCAATTTAATGAAATAATTAAAATTCGCAAAAAATCTACCTCAAAATAATCACCACAAATAAATAACAAGAATTACAGGGGAATTCCTAATAGAATTAATATTATTGAGCTTAATTCCTCCAAATTACATAATAATATTTGAGCAATTTGCTAATATAACGAAAAATTGAGAGTTTAAAAATAAAGGGTAATAGAGGGAGAAAGAAAATACCGATATTAAGTGACAGAAGTATCCTCAAGCAAACTTAGACTTACAGGAGAATAAACTACGAGTTGTGTTCAAAAAATATCGCGAATTTTGTGTATTTTCAAAAATTACTTATTTATTCATGAATATCTATTATATTTTGTCCCCTTCAAGCTAATCCCCTTGAGATATTATACACTTGTGCCAACGGTTTTTACAATCTTCGGAGCACTTCAAAAAATCTTTTTTTTATCTTGTTCAGCTCCTCCTTCGATGCCGTCTTTATCTCGTCAATCGTAGCGTAACGTCGTCCTGTCGTGGGCCTCTTCAGTTTAGGGAACAAGAAAAAGTCACAGGGGGCCAGATCTGGGGAATACGGTGGTTGCGGCATCACTAGTGTGTTGTTTTTGGCCAAAAAGTCGCGCACAAGCAACTATGTGTGAGCAGGGGCGTTATCGTGGTGCGAAAGCCAATTTTTGTTCTTCCACAAATCCGGGCATAACTTGCAGGTAATATTCCTTATTCTACCCTGTGGCAAGAACTCATGATGCACCACGCCCCTGCAATCGAAGAAAACTGTCAGCAAAACTTTCACATTCGACCGTACTTGGCGCGCTTTTTTCAGCCGTGGTTCGTGCGGCAGCTTCCATTGAGATGATTAAGCTTTGGTTTCCACGTCATAACCATAAACCCATGATTCGTCACCAGTTATGACCCCCTGGAGCAAATTTGGGTCGTCGCGGACAGAGTCCAACATCTCTTTAGCAATGTTCATGCGATGATGTTTTTGTTCGCAATTGAGCAATTTTGGTACGAGTTTCGCGGCGAACCGTCTCATGCCGAAAGTATTGATAAAATCGAATGGCACGAGCCAAACGATATGTTTAGGTCCTCAGCAACTTCTCTAACGGTGATTCGACGATTGGCTAATACCATTTTCTCCCTTCTAAATTCAATTATACGCAACCTGCGAAAATTCAAAATTTGCGATACTTTTTGAGCACACCTCGTATATGCTTGTGGAGGCTTGTATAATTAGAAAACTATGTATTTACAATAAACAAACTGAATAACAAATTTTGGGAGTTTTTTTTAACAATCCATTGATAATTGTGACAATATCCAAGCTCGATAATTGTGACAATATTAACATTTGTGTACATATACAAAGAAGAGAGCATAAATTGTGTTCTCCATTTAAAATAACAAAGGACTTCGTCAACCAAAGTTACTTCAGGTAAATTAAGCCTTACGTGTACCATGCTAACAATACTTGTTTTTCAAAAAAAAAAACATAGAATTCACAAAAAAAAATCATGAAATCTTTATTTGAATCGATATTACGGTCCATATAATTTAATGTTTGAAGATTATTTCATGTAAATGTTGACCTTGGCTGCGCCTCGAATGGCCCATCCGCTTAGTCCAATTTTGGCATACTCTTTCCAACATTTCGGCTGGTATCTCACGAATAAATGCTTGAATGTTGTCTTCCAATGCGTCAATTGAAGCGAGTTTGTTTGTATAAACATTAGATTTAAAATATTCCCACAAAAAATAGTCTAAAGGCGTTAAATCGTAAGATCTAGACGGTCCCTTTGATATCATCTCACGGTAGCACCCTCCATGATGATGCGTTACGATTCGCATCAAACTGTGCCTTTATCTGGATGCATTGGATAGTTGCATTGCTTCGTTCCGATCTTCACTCCAAAATCGACAATTCTACTTATTTACGCACCCATTAAGCAAAATGCGCACGCGAGCGATGAACTTTCTGAACAGAGCACACATTTTGATCATCAAATTCAATAATTTGCAAGCTTTTTTCGTTTGTAAGGCGATTTACGCAGATGTTTGACAGTGAAACAAAACAGAAACGTACGTCAGCTGTTTAAACCAGTGTTGCCAAAAAGATAGTAGCTAAAAAATCACCCTTTAGTATGAATGCGCCTTAAACTTTACGCTGCTACAGGGTAACTCGGATTACTTATATTTGAGCACTTTGAAAATCTCATACACTGTAACTCGTTTTTTTTTAACGAAATAACAGCACGAAAATTAAAACAGAACCTGAAGGAAAAATTTTGTAAAAAAGCTGATAAATATATATGAGTAAACTACTGTTTTTCTTTTAAAATGTTTTTTTATTAAATATTTTCTTGAAAATTTAATTAAATAAATAACTTGCCGTTTTTGAAAATAAATAAAATATGCATTTTGTTCAGTGTAGTTTTGGATGCAATTTGACATTTGAAAATATAACACTACAACCCTGAATAAATTGACGTGTTACAGAATAGTGTTATCTTTATCTTGCACACGATTTCTACGTAAGCGTGCAACAAAAACAATAGAAATTTAATGGAAGAGTGTCAATATCTAAGAAAATAGGTATAATTCGCCGTCAGTTGAAAAATAAAATATTTTTGCGGACTATTTCCGTAAATTAAAAAGAAAAATATATTTAGCAACCATTTCCAAGTTTGAACAGCGGTGTTATTAAAATTCTTCTGCTGCACATTGAAATATATATGTAAGTGCAAACGTGTTTAAATTGTATTAAACTCTATGTAATACCCATGTACGTATGTTATATATAAATTTTGGTGGACAAATGTGCCTACCCAGAATCCTGCATCTTAGTTACATGATTGGGTAGTGATGTTATTACTTAGAAAAACAGTTCACTTTCCATTCGAAAGGCTGTATAGTTTAATAAAAAATTTGGTGGCAATAGGTCAAGTGTATTCAATTTAAAATTGCTGTAATGTCTAAAAACTCTGCTTAAAACATAGTTTTTTGATATTTTGGTAAGTTAAAAAAAGGGCTACAAAATGTAAATCTCTATTCTATATGCGAAGGTGATGTGCTCGATAAAATCACCGGTGTCGAATGCAAAGCTGATTACCATCAATTAAAATTAGATTTTCATCTTACTCGGAAAACAACATTCCGATACACAAAGCAATCTAAAATTGTTGAGGCAGGTATTTATGTGTTGAACATTAAAAAATAATGAAAATTTATTTCGGCACATACAATATATTTATTACCGAAACATTTCTTCCAAAAATCTTTACTTCTTATAAGCATGCATTTATGTGCACATATGTATATATAGCAGCAAAGAAGGAATCTGCAATAAAATATCTGATAACGATATTCCTATACATATTGTATTTTAATAATTCAGACTATATTTTTAATCGACGTGTCACTGAGAGATCCAATAGCCACCACAGATTATTTCTAAAACATACAAACTGGTTTTAGGTGAAGATATGAAAGTTATGGTGTTTTGCAGTATGAAAGATGATTGTATAGTAGCCTTTGCCCTGCGTGGTTGTCACGATTTCAAAAATATAAGAAACAGCTTATCAGTGCACTGCCTGATAAATCCATATCGGTAAATAATGAAAATGATGAATGCTAAATATAAAAATAATAATAAGCCCAACGAATAAGCTTCGTGATTTAAAACTGTTCAGCTACAGAAAAAATAAATTATTCAACATTATTATTGGTTTTTTTTTTTTTTTTTTTTTTTTTTTGATGAAANTCGTTCTTTAATGGAACTTGTTGCTGTTTGGCTACGGCAGCAGCTGTCGTTATTTTCATGTTTTTTTTTTTTTTTTTTTTTTGAGCGAGTGCAAATGATCGAAGATGCCGGACTTAAAATTGCAATTGTGACACAATCAGCGAAAAGGCGCATTCAATTCTTAATATGTTTTACATGACTTTAATAGTAAAGGCCTTAACTGCCAAATACACGAGCTGGAATATTAAGAGCAATGAACTTCGTTGATCCGTTAAGAAGTTTAACGATTGGTATAGGGAGGAAGATTTATAGTAGAGTTTCATCGGAAATGATTTAATGCAAAAAGTTACAATTGTTTTTGAACGGACTCCAACTTAACGGAATTAACCTGATAACTGGGGTTCCACATCAGTGCACCATATTCCATAGGAACCCGGGGCTACTAATAAAAACCATTGTTATACAATTTCTTTTTATTAAAAATATAGCTTACATATTTTAAGAAAATACATATAAACTTTTTCAAGAATTTTATTTCCTTGATACAGGTGCATAAATTTGGTTATAATGTTTTCTAAAGACATGGCTGTAAAAACATAAAAATTCACTACAATTTCTTTTTTGAATATAGATATTAGGAAGGTAAGGGTTCGAACCTGGTCCGACAAATATCCAAAAATTATAGATAATTTTCTTTTTTTTTTTTCTAACTGCACTCTTCCGCCGACAGGTGATATCAAGCCTTTTGGGTGTATTCCTGTCATGAAATAGAAGCTTAGCATAAAATTTCTTTGGTCATTCAGAAGCGGCTTAGAATTAACCAATAATGAAATGGTATTTGTATTTATTAAGTTCATATTAAAAATATGCCTGTGTTTCCAGCAATTCTTTATGTGTAATGTAAGCATCTACACTTCTCAATTTATAATTACTCTTTTGCTCAATTACTTTAATAAATTTTTAATATCAATAATATATACATATATATTTATATATCTAGGCGTATCTGCATAATTATACATAAAAATGTATCTGCAGAGATGTTAATTTTGACGTACATATATTTTTCTTCGTTTCTATAATTGCCGTTTGTTGGCAGTGTTGCTTTAATACGACCGAAAATATAATTAGTAAACAATGTAAAAAATAATAAAAAGCTTAGAAACTCACATTTATACGTAAGATATTTCTTTCTTATTTAATTTTATGAGCTAATTGATCAATATCATTTGAAATCACCAATTTTTCTATTTAAAACGTCATATTACGTATGCTTTTAGAGTCAGCCACTCTCTTGGTTCTTATATGTATGTACATACATAGATATGTGAACACTGGTGCCAAAGTGGTAAATATGGAATTTGTATTTATAGTAAGCAATGTGGCTTTTTAATTATTTTTATTTCATAGTAAATATGTCTTCTAATATGCAATGCATGCAAAGTCTTTACTATATTCGAGTGAATTTCACTTGATTCTTCTACCTGAAAATTGGTGATAATAAAATTTGTTGCAAGTTTTTGCTCCCAAATGGGATACTTTTGAGGCGCGTTAGTATTTGACAGTATTTTTAAGGATTAGGATAACTGACTTCGAATTTTTTCATAGAGAAAACTCAACACAAAACAAAAACAAAAATATGAAATCTTTTTCTTTGTTTTTTAAGGTAAAATTTTCAAATGAAACCTAAATTCTGATTTGCCCCACTGTGTAAAACATGCTCTATTTACACTCAAAAAAAAAAGTTTAATTAAATACTTAAGAGCATGAGTTCATTTTAATTATTTCTTTAATAATATTATGTAACATACATAGGTATAATTATAATATACATTTGTAGAGTACATACTACGAATTTGGCATAAAATAGGTATTAATGATATTTTAAAATTGAATGTAATATATTACATTATTTTTACCGTGAAAATATAAATATTATATATTTATTCTTCAATTTATATACATATACGCAAATACTTGCATACATATGTATGTAATTGCATGCTACACATTCTTTAAGATAAACAACTGCACTATTTATGTATTATACATGCATAGATATATGCATGCATGATTTTATACAAGGAAAAAATATCTAAAAATAATATTGCATTTTGCAACAAGAGGCATATGAAAGAATCTTCCCCACATAAATAGTTGTACCACATACATATATACAGGAGTCATCAGAAATTGGCATAAGTATATCTCATACTTTAAAGTGCAATTTTCAAAACTATAATATTATAAAATATAAGTATTTTTTATGATATTAATAAGAGTCGAGACTAACCGGAGTGTGAACTTTGTGAATTTCGTAAAAGCATATCTTCTATGTCATAAGGTCTTGGGGAGAGACAAATTCGGGAGCCAGATGAGTGTAAGACAAGAATAAAATAGTTACGAATAAGAAAGAAACTTTATAATGCTCGTTTCACATTTCCTATCAACTACGCCAGTGATAGCCGCCCTACAAAGTATCATTCATTGGTCATTGGCAAAATACATAATAATACACCCATCCCTAAAATGGGCAATAGAATTTTGTAAAAAGCATAAATAATCAGATTTGTAGAAGGGGTGTGGTCTACTTCTGAAAAAGGGGAAATGGGTGTTTAAAAAGTTTATGTCAAGGCCAGGTAAGAAAGGCTATACACTAGCTAAATCTTTTCGACCAATAAGCTTAACTCCATTTAGCTTTAAGGAAAGGATATTAGATGATCGCATAAAATCAGTCACATTAAATACAAATTCTCTTCATCATGCACATCATGCATACAAAGATATCGAAGGAGCTTTTGATAATACTTTATCTACAGCGCTTAATACAGTCCTAAGAGAAGGGAGCTCGAAAAAGCGATAAGAAGATTGATAAACTCCATTGACAGCAGCACTATCCACTGGCAAACCGCTAAAGAATGAATGGTGTCCACTTCTGTGGAGTCTGATATTAGATGATTTACTAGAGGTACTAACAATAGATGATATCATGATAGAATCAGGCCCTAGAACACATTCGACCATGGCCTTCCAAATGACTATACGCAATGATAACCACCATGGGAAAGAAAGCTTCTTGGAGTCAGTCAGGGATGGAGAATATAAATAAGGCGCAAGAACATATCTAATACACTGATAACTAATAAATGCATAGCTGCAAGCTCTCATATGGATACCAATTGAAACATACTGCACTCGAAGCAATTAAGCCGTATATGGTGCGGTGGAATGTAACACAAACATGAACCAGTTGGGCGAATACAAGAAGTTTAAATTATTATTTGTTCCAGACCACAAGTGTATAAAGGTAAATAAAATAGCAAAACGTTAGCAAAGCAAGCGGCAGCAACTTTGGCGATAGAACCCAAACCCTCTTTCCCATCAGTCATCATATAATAAACATAAGAAGGGTAAAGATCGAAGAGAAGTACATTGAAATAGATATATATATAAGATAGCGGGTCTAAAACAGGCCAAAAAAATGATATGCGGTTACAATAGTAAATGATTTATGCAGTTGATCGTATTCAGTAGAAATAAATTAATAGGGCCGGATAGCCAGATCCTCCATATCTATCTATGAGTCGTTTAATACAGCCTTGGCCAAAAAATATTAGCCACCTAAGTTACTGAGTTACTGAATTTTTTCTTTTAACAAGTGAAGTAATGAAGTTTTATTAGTAAAACAGTAAAAATACAACTTTGCTTCCGCCGTTTTCCGATAGGTGGCTGTACCGGCTGAGGCTGGTTGAAATACATAGATGATAATGCCTTTAAAGTGAGTGTGGGCAGTGCCTAACGAATTATCATCGCCTTTTCAGTGACAGTTGTTCTTGTTTTCGTATTATTCACGCTCGAAAATGTCCGTTTATGTGCCTAATTCTCGCCATTTGCGGGAAGTTTTACTTTTCTGTTACAATTCGAAAAAAAAAATGCAGCTGAAGCCCATCGAATGCTCTCAGAAACTTACGGTGATGCTATTCTGGGCGAAAGAACGTGTCGGGAGTGGTTTCAACGTTTTAAAAATGGTGATTTCGATGTCGAAGAAAACATGGTGGTGGAAGAGAAAAAACCTTCAAAGATGAACAACTAGAAACATTGCTTGATGAAGAAGCTCTTAAAACCGAGTGAAACCATCACAGGAGATCGCTACCGAACGCATCTGATGCGCCTTAGTCGCGCGCTAAAAGAAAAGCGGCCACAATATCAAGGGCGACATGACAAAGTCATCCTCCAACACGACAATGCTCGGCCTGACGTCGCAAAAGTGGTCAAAAAGTACCTGGAAACGCTGAAATGGGAAGTCTTGTTCCACCCGCCGTATTCCCCAGATGTCGCCCCTTCTGATTTCCACCTATTCCGTTCGATGGCACACGGCCTTGTTGATCAACATTTTCAATCCTTCGAAGAATTGAAAAAATGGATTGCTTCATGGATAGCGTCAAAAGAAGACTCCTTTTTTCGAGCCGGGATCCGAAAATTGCCGGAAAGATGGGAGAAAGTTGTCACTAGCGAAGTACAATACTTTGAATAATATATCTGTAATCACTTTTTCGCAATAAAGCTTTTAATTTTGGAAAAAAACGGCGGAAGCAAAGTTGTACACCTAATAACATTAATATTTAGTAGGCCCGCCCTTCTAATAACGACATCAATTCTCTTTGGCATGCTGCGTACAAGCTTTGCAAATTCGTCCGCACTTATAGCGTACCACTCGTTAATTAAGACCTTTTTTAAAGCAGTTTGTGATGTAAAACTGTGTTCCTTAATCTTGCGTTTGAAAATAGCCCACATTTGCTCAATGGGATTAGGAACTGGAGACTGTGCATGCCAATCTAACAAAACAATGTTTCTATCTCTAAACCAACGCGTCGCAGTCACTGATTTGTGGCAAGGAGCATTGTATTCCTGAAATTGAACCCCGTCTAAATTAGTATCGTCGAAAATAGGCGTTAATGAAGGCAGAAGAACAGCTTCTAGTACATTTATGTACTTTTGACTGTCCATGCGACCCTCGCAAACGAACATTTCGCCCGACACCATCAGCAGCCATGCAGCCCCAGATCATAACGCTGCCTCCTCCATGCTTAACAGTGGGTACCACGCAACCTGGATGATATTCTTCCCCAACCCGTCGCCTCACTAACGTCACACCAGGTGTTCCAAATATCTGTAGAAAAGAAAAATAATGTCTTCATAATTGCACTGGGGTAAGAAGCTACTACTACGCTTCCCTCGAAGTTTGATTCATCAGACCACAGAACTTTCGACCAATCTTCTTCCGTGAAATGTTGGTATCGACGAGCCCATTCCAAACGATTTTTCCTATTCTTTTCTGATAGCCACGACTTCTTTCGGGCTTTACATCCTTTTAAACCTGCTTCCAGGAGTCTTCTTCTAACTGTTCGAGCACTAACTGGCTTACTAAATTCATCCGACAGGGCAGCTGCAATGGCAGAAGAAGATTTTTTTGCGATCCTATCGCCTGATAGCACATTGGACCGCGCACCACGAACATCCAACCAAATTGGCAATCCCAGCCTGAGACTTACCTTCTTCACTTAGAACTTGATTTCTAGTTCAATCATCGTAACTAATTTCACTTTTTTTTAGGGATTTCGGCAAATATGAGCTGTTTTTATAAGATATAAACGTAATTTCAATTTCTTAAAAAGGACAATTTTAAGGTTTAGCTTACACAGAGTGCTATGACTTTGAACATTACACAATTTACTCGTTTAATCAACAGTTAAACACCACAAAAAGAAGTGGTAGCTTGAATAGCCACATTTGAGAATACTTGTATTTTAGTGGGCTACGTAATACTTTTGGCCATGGCGGTATTTATAATTGGCGCTTTGTAACAGTTGAAGCGATTTTCGGCCGAGTTCCTCCTGTAATTTGTGGTTTTACGTCTTGCTGTTTTTCCAACAAATGGCGCGAGCTACAGTTTATATTAAGCCGCCTCTGAACGGCTAGCGGTTTTTTTATGTAAAGCTTTTTTCATGTCAGAAATACACTCGGAGGGGTTGACATTCCCTGCCGAAGGGCGACTGATACTTTGGCGAATAAAAAAGTTTACCGGGGCTATAACTGTTCTCATCAGCATCACAGTTCCCTAGGATGTCCCTTAGACCAGGAACCCAAACCTCGGACGTTTCGTATACAGTCGGAAAAAATCTAAGAATACAAGTTTCTGAAAAAAGAATTTTAAATGTCAACTCTTCCCAATTTATTTATAATAAAAAATTATAAAATTTCTTTACTTATTGTTGCCGCCTAAGAAAGACGTTTAGAAACAATTATTTTAATATATTCAAGCCAGTTTGCAATATGATAGCATCTGTTTAGATAACCCCAAGAGTAATAAAAAAAAAATATCCAAATTGAATATTTTATAAATAGACGGTGTGTCCCAAAATTAACCGAACTTTTTGGATATAAAATAAAATACACATTATATTATCTTTGAAAATTATTATTTATTCAAAATAGGTTCCATTTGACTCAATACAAAGTTTTGAACGTTCAACCAACGCATGCATAGATTTTCTATGTCATTTATAGAAATGTTCTTCAGTACCTCGGTTACGGCTGCTTGAATGGCTGGGATATCATCATAAAATGCTCCCTTCATCTTGGTTTTCAGTTTTGGAAATAAAAAATAGTCGCATGGTGATAGATCAGGCGAATACGGAGGATGGTCAATGAGAGAAATTCCTTTTTTCATTAAAAATTCGAGCGATCTTTTGGTCGCCATTTAATTCATGTGGAACAAATCGCGCACAGACCTTTCTTTTTCCCAAACCGACAGTTAAAATTCTTCAAATAGTGTTTTTACTCGTATTCAATTCCTCAGCCAACATTCTCGTAGTAAAATTTGCATCGATACCAATGATTTCACGGACTTTTTCCACCAGTTCAGCACGATTACTAGTTTCTGTACGTCCTGCTCTAGGGTCGTCATTTAAATCCTCACGACCATTTTTAAATCGTGTAAACCACGTATAAACTTGCGTACGACTCATACAATCATCACAATAAACTTTTTTTTATTGATTTTTTTTATTGAAGTTTGACACAAAATTTTATATTTGCTCTTTGTTCCATTTTATTTTTGAACCATTAGCACACTTTTGGTTTCATTGAAATGGCTGTCACTTTTACATCTGTCATCCGACTTACATGATGTTAGGTGCGTTTGAAAGAGGATGAATGTATCTTTTTAATGTTGAAATTTTTCAATAGATGGCGCTGTATGTTGTATGATTTAAATATAAAGTTCGGTTATTTTTCCAACACACCGTGTAGCAAGATCAAACGATTCTGAGCAAACACGTTTAGCGTCAACAATTTCGAAGTAAAACTAACCTAACCGAATTTTTTTTACCGTGAATCTAAGGTTAATCATTTCAGCAAGTAAAATAAAAATGTTTTCAAAAGGAAATAGGGTTTTTGCAGCATACTTTTGTCATAACTGCCTTCAAAAAACATGTTTTTATTAAACACTGGTTTTATAATTTTTTATATATTTTTGTTGTTATTGTTCTCTACAGTTAAAATACATACATATGTATGCATTATATGTACATATATATTAAATGTAAACAATAATGGAAAATTCAATTTGTATGCTGGATTATTTGGCTTCACATTTAAATAAATAATACATATACTTAAGATGTTTACAAATGGGAACACTGGCATCTCGTTATGAGAACACTTGCTTAGGTATTGCATTTTACAATAATTTTCTCTAATATATTTAAAATTAATAAGTCACTTAACTTATTGGGCTACAAAATCAAAATCAAAATTAAAGAATTTTAACTGTAGTTTAATTTAAACAAAACAAAGAAAATATTTCGATCACTACTGAGGTTTTAAGATTTTGTCTTTGTCCTCTTTGTGTAATAATAAATATTTAGAAACTGTCTATACTTATTTTTCGCACACATAAATATTAAAAAAAAAACATAAACTTTTGTTTAGTTTAGCATTTCCAGCATTGGCATATAATATGGCAGCGTGTCGAGCACATTGTTGTCTGGGAGCTCCGCGACACGATCAAAGCATAGCGCGTGCCGCGGTGACGTCATCAGCTGACGCACATTATACGCGATATCCTCGAAATTAATACGTTCACTTGGCTCTAGCTGCCAGCAGTTGAGCAGCAGCTGGTACAAATCCTGATAGACAAATGTCGGTTGTGCAGGGCGTGAACCGCTCTTAATTGCGTCAAGCAGTTGTTGTGTATTGCTTATATTGGCATATAATGTGCCACCCAAAGTACAACACTCCCATGCGACACAGGCAAAAGACCACACATCCGATTTAACGGAGAAATGTTGGTAACGTAATGCTTCCGGTGCCAGCCAGCGTGTAATGTCGATTTTCTTTTCATTTTGCACATACGGTATCGGACCAAAAATGGACACTTTCAATTTGGCATCTGCTGTAACGAATATATTGTGTGAACACAACTGCTTGTGGACTACTTTGCAACTGCTAAGGTACTCAAGCGCGCTGGCTATCTCGTAAATCCACTGTAACACCAACTCCTCCGAGAGTGTAGTAATGCGCTGCATGGGCGCTGAGCTAGGCACACGTCTGCTCTCTATAAGACGACGTTTCAAACTTACAGTCTGATGTTCGAACACCAAGTAAAACCAATCAGCGCTAGCTGAGATGCCATAGAAATCTAACAAATGCTCATGTCTCTGCAATTTAGAGAGATTTCGAAAGTCGCGTAATAGATGTGCCTGCTCTTTTCCCTGCAATTCGTCCAATGCGAGCACATGCAGCTGACAGTCGGCGCTAGCTTCCGGTAATGCAGTGGATATAAATTTGCCAGTAATTACCTCACCATAACGTCCATCCGCAAAGATGTCATTAACATTCATGCGCAGGGCATTACGGGGTAAATGCTTGGTGGCGTCCAAAGCCGAGATGAGCACATCAAGTTGCTGGCGGAAATTCTCAGCAGGGGGTAACTCATCCTCCACAACAAACCCATTATTCTCCCGCTCGATAATCGGTTGTTGCATGGTCATTTCGTGTGCATTACGATTCATGCCGCCTCGCGCCTGGCATGTTTTGTAACGCAAATAGAAATATGTAAACACACTGAGCACCAAACAAATGGCAAATATTATACAGATGACGGTCAATGCAATGATCGAAGCGAGGCCCGAATCGAATGTGGCGTATTTGAAATTATCCAAAGTAATTGTGTGTTGATCATGTGAGCCACGGGTATACAGAGTTTTTGTTATGCCATTCATCGTACTGATCTAATTAGGGATGAAATATTTTTCTTTATAAATAAATTTTACTTAAAATTAAATAAATCCCTTACTTACCACACCGAGACTTATATGAATATCAGCACCACTCATATTTAGCGGCACATTCACGTAAGGTCCGTAGCGTTTACCATCGCCCACAATAAATTGTTTCGTCCGATTATCCTCCGGTCCATTATGATCCAGTTGTGCGGCGATGTAATATGGCAAACCATCGTCTTGTGCCTTTTGCCAACTGCCTAAAAGTTCAATATCGAATGGTTGACTCAACGATGCGTCTATGCGTTCCACAATGACGAGTACTTTAGACAACGGTCCATTATCATTACGCAACGGTGGAATTTCAATAGTCATCGAGGCATCTGTTGTGCGCACCACACGCGGCTGCGGCGGTGGCGGACTCGGTTCACCAACTTCGGTGATGGCTAGAAGAAAGTCATTGCCACAAATCTCCTGCGAACACATTGCTTCCACGGTTATATTATATTCCGTGGCCGGATGTAGGTCAGTTATTTCGAAGCTGGTCTCCATGCCCTGCACAATAAATTCCGGTTGCGGGAAAAAGGGTAACGTTGAATATGTATGAAGTACATGTGTACGTATGAGGAAATTCGTAATCTCTTTCACTATCTTAATTGCTGCGCCCTCGTCGCCGGCCACAAACACTTTGCTGGGGGTCAGGTGCACATCCCAAGCAATTGTAATTGTGTTTTCGGTTACATTGTCTACCCGCAAATTGTGCGGCGCCGTCTTTGTAGCCCATACTGTTGAATAATAGCTTTGTACACCAACACCGCCACAATACTGCGACTTGTCAGCCAAGCAACGCGTATTGCACAGCTTGTCGTCCAGCCGATCCTTCGAAATGACATTATTGGTACAAAAACAACGTTCCGCAGATAAAATAGCATAGCTAAACCTTTGATTTTCACATATTTCGACACAAGTTCGTGGCGTCTTTGCATAAATTGATTCCTTCAAGAGGTCAGTACGCGCAGTATAGCAACCAAAGTAGAAGAATGTTGACTCACCAGCGATTGGCACGATCTGCACTTGCTCGGTGGTTTGTGCGTTCGCCAAAGTTAAGAATAATGCGAAAGAAATCATAGTTAATTGCAACACGCGATCAGAACAATGATTATACAAAAACGTCGACCACTTGGTGTTGTTTGCATTACTGCTGCCGATTCTGTTGTTGTTGCTGCTGCTGCTACTGCTGCTGCCGCCGACGCAACCATTGCAGCTTCGCCAGGTGTGGCACCATGCGTTAGCTGGGTGGAGGCCTTTATAATAGGCTTTCTTTTTCCGCTGTGAATGCGCCGTAAGTCGAAGATTTTCTAATAATTTTTCTTTCATGTTTGATGTTGCTGCTGTTGGTACTGTAGCTTGAATCCAACTAATTAAGTGCTCCGTCCGTTTGGCGTTCTGGGTGCCACCCTCATTCAATAAACTTTTTTTATGCTCTTATCAAATTCGATTATCTGTGAGCGTTGTTGGTACACTAATTAAATTTTGTACTACTTTTATTACAGATTTTTGAATTATGTTTTGAATTTTCTCCAACGTTGGCTACCTCTTTTGTTATATTTGTGTATTTTATTAACGAAAATCGCAAACGCTATACGTAGTTGATGTGCATTCGCCCAGCGTGTTCTGCTTCATTGTCCGAAATTATGGACGATACAATGAGCATTAGCAATCAGTAATGTTCAATTTAGTCACATACAGCTAGCTTGTAGACGAATAGACGAATTGACGAAGTGACGCTGCTCTTCTTGTTTACTCAGTTATTCGTCCCACAAGCGACAACGTTTCACGTTTCACAGCGACAAAGGCGAATTGAAAAGTAAACCGTGTTTAAATGACTACTATGACCAAACATTGTCTGACTGGTTGTAGGTGCCACTGACTGCTAGCTATCTGTTACTTTCATTTTTTCTGTTTATGCATCATACGCAACGTTTGCGACATGTACGGAAAAGAGATCGCTGTGTTGTGCACACCTGACGATCGTTACGACCAATTTATATATTCTTTTATGTTCATTTTCATGTTCTTCTTTCACTTGCTTTATTCAATATTGTTTTGGTTTATACCAGTTTTTACCTTAGCCCGGCTTAGAAGCCGTTCAGGCCATGGCTGACTAATACTTAATAGTCAATGCTGCACCCTAACTGTTAACTGCTCTCTTCCAGCTTGTGAGAGAATGAAACAATGTCGCTGAGAGCACTTCTTTTGATAAAATACGTGTTAAGAAAATTTTAATCAAGTAATATATGTACTACATACTTACATACTTATATAAGTCGTAAAAGTACTTTTGTGTTATTTAATGGTTGGTTATCGAACCACAATCTCTTTTGCATACACATATTTTACAAATATCGAGAGAAAAAAATGATAACAATAAAGCTCTTGATCAATCACAATGGTCAGAATTTTTTAATAATCATTAATGTAAGTAGAGTGAGTTAAAATAATTAATAAAAATAATCTTAGGTCATTAATCCAATTATAAAAATACATACTTTTGTATTGTAAACCTTAAAAAATTATAGGAACTTTATCTTAATGAAGAAATTATATGTGCACGACTTCAAAACATTATATATATATATATATTGGGTTGCCCAAAAAGTAATTGCGGATTTTTTAAAAGAAAGTAAATGCATTTTTAATAAAACTTCGAATGTACTTCAATCAAATATATAATTGCCATTTTGTTCGATAACCTTTTGCCATCTTCCTGGCAAATTTAGTATTCCACGCTCATAGAACTTCTGGCCTTTACCTGCAAAAAACTGAACCAAGTGCGATTTTATAGCCTCATCATTGCCGAAAGTTTTACCATTTAAGGAGTTCTGCAAAGATCGAAATAAATGGTAGTCTGATGGTGAAAGGTCAGGGCTATATGGTGGATGCATCAAAAGTTCCCAGCCGAGCTCACTCAGTTTTTGGCGAGTGGCCAAAGATGTGTGCGGTCTAGCGTTGTCCTGGTGGAATATGACACTTTACGATTGACCAATTCTGGTCGCTTCTCCTTGATGGCTGTATTCAATTTGTCCAATTGTTGACAGTAAACATCCGAATTATTCGTTTGGTTCCTTGGAAGCAGCTCAAAATTTACGACACCCTTCCAATCCCACCAAACAGACAGCATAACCTTCTTTTGGTGGATATCAGCCTTTGAAGTGGTTTGAGCTGGTTCACCATGCTTGGACCATGATCGTTTTCGACTAACGTTGTTGTAAACAATCCATTTTTCATCTCCAGTTATGATTCGTTTTAAAAACGGATCGAATTCATTGCGTTTAAGGTGCATATCACTAGCGTTGATTCGGTGTGTTAAATGAATTTCTTTCAATACATGTGGTACCCAAATATCAAGCTTTTTCACCAGTCCAAGACTTTTTATGTGATAATGAACGGTTGATTTTGGTTTATTTAACTTCTCTCCTATCTCACGCTCAGTTACATGACGATCGAATTCGATTAATGCTTTGATTTGGTCATCATCAACTTCATTTGGCCGACCTGAACGTGGCTCATCTTTAAGTGAAAAATCTCCAGAACGGAATTTGCGAAACCAATTTTGACACTGTCTTCCTTTTAAGGCTTCATCACCATACACATCTCGTAACTTTTTAGCAACCTGCTCCACGTTTTTTCCTTTACGGAAATAATAAAGTAAAATATGACGAAAATGCTCCTTTGTGGGCTCCATATTAAAATTTACGCCAACATAACAAATGTAAACAAAATTTCGCGCACTTTTCTTTTAAAGCAAGCTAAAAGTAACAGCTGATAACTGACAGAAGAAAGAACGCAATTACAGAGTCACAAGCCGTTGAAAAAACTTGTCAACGCCGACTATATGAAAAATCCGCAATTACTTTTTGGGCAACCCAATATATATTATAATTATAATTGGCGATTTTCCGCCGAGCTCCTCCTCCAATTTGCGTCTTGATGTTTTTCCAACAAATGAAGAGGAGACCTACAGTTTATACTAAGCCGCCTGCGATGGTTTTCTTATGAGGAGCTTTATTTCATGTCAGAAATACACTCGGACGGGTTGACATTCACTGCCGAGTGTCGACCTCAATTAGAAAATAATTTAGCTTAGTTTTTTATTTAAATTAATTTTCAATAACATTTGCATGTTGGGGATTTGAACCCTTTAAGCTTTCCGAAGCACGCAACGCCAACCACTCGGCTACCGCGCCCGCCAAAGTACATCAAACTAGTAAAATAAAAACAGTTATCAAAGTTTTTTTTTTCTTTTTTTTTTTGTTTAATTGCCTATCCTCAAACTTATATTATATAAGAAAATTTATACTTAAATGCAATTTATTCTTAAAACAAAATTATAGAAAAAAGTATTCTTCATAAAAAATGTTTATGTGTGCATGATCATGTCATAGTCAAAAATGATTTCTATTAGCACTAAAATTGAATATTTTGATTTGGATTAAAGTGTCAGTAGTTAAAATATTTTCCATTTTTCTTCTGAGTTGTGCCAGCCGAGATAATATGGATACAACCAAAAAATTTAGCGTGTACATGCTGAAAGCAGGTCATAATTGGTTCTTATGCGGTGTTAAATTAACTCCCAATCTTAAAAATTATAGAGGCTAGTATTCCCCACAGATCCTCAATGCCGTTCAAGTCCGGACTTTTAGCTGGCCAGTCCAATACCGGTATTTTTCTGGACGCAAAAAAACGCTTTACTAAGAGCTGCACTGTAAATTGGAGCTTTATCTTGCTGAAATGTCCAAATATCACCGTAAAGTTGATTAAATTCTACCAGCTCACCGTCAAATAAGTCCCTCTACATTGCAGCAATCATTTTTGTCAATATGAAGCAAATCGGAGTTTTCCTTTCATAACAAAAGGCAGTCCATACGATCGTTTTGTGTATGATGCCAGTACTTCTTATATCCATCAGGGCTATCGAAGTTGAACTTTCTTCTTCACACTTCGTCCTCCTCATCCCAAAACTGGTACTTGCCAAACGGCAATATGTCTAGTTCCGGTACCATAGAAAGGTGTTTCACGTTAGGCTCAAACAATGTAGACAAATCCCTATTCTTGTAACGTTTACCCCCATATAACGCTTTATTTGTGCACAACTCATTTGACCAACGAACGCATGGCATTGAATTTTGCCTTTGCGTTTGGCAGTTCAGAACAATAATATATTATTGTATAACAAAAATCTGTACTGAAATCAAAACCACCGAACTCTTGATAAAATAGTTGCAACGCCCCTCGTCATAAGAATTAAGGGTTTTCCAATAGAGGTGTTATTTTGAATAGTCTTCTATTCCAGTAGATGTCACTTTTGAAGTGAAATTTTTGGCATTTCAAAGATAAAAACTACGCCAGTAATAAAATTGGAACTATACGGGCTTCAACCACGCATTGAATTTATTAAAATTCACTATAAAAATTTCATCGAAAAATCATCGCGACTTCCATTACACCTCGATGGCTACGTCAATAGATAAACTGTCGCATCTGGGACTCCGAAAAGCCAAGACTAATTCTTGAATAGCCTCTCCATCCTCAACGTGTAACTGTTTAGTGCGGTATATGGTCCAGCGGGGTCATTGGACCTTACTTTTCCGGAAATGACTAGATTGCGCTGTCGAGAGATGATCAATTGGAGGGTATAGATCTGGACAACGTTTACTTTCAACAAGACGACTTAAGTGATTCTTAAACGATATAAAAAATATTCCGTCTTCTTTTGTATTGCGATTTTATCGGGAATATTTATTGATCGTCTTATCTGAACTTTACTTTATTCTATACTCAACAAATTATTTCATCGGAGATTAGCTTAAATAAATTCACCATATGTTATTTTAAGCAAAATAAAAAAGAAAGCTGTGAACTTCTTCAGACCAGTTAAAAAAATCCCTTCCAGTGCGTTCCTGGTCATAATAAAACTAAAAAAAAAGAGGTGTCATAAGACTAGAAGCCCATTCATTTGTAAAAAACCGGGAAGACTTAAATTCATTTAAGCGGCTATAAAGTGCCAATTATAAACACATACTTATATTGCAGATACCACTGCTCCAACCATACCAATTTTTTGCAGTAGTATGGAAATGAGCCAGCTCATCCGATTGGTCCAAATACGACCGCCGTAAAAAGGTCTACTTCAAAGTGTCGGAAAATTGATGACGACTATTTATTAGTATTGTAATGGAAATGCTCTTGGAAAGAGGTGTCACTTTAACAAGAGAACACTGTACAATTATATTAAAAAATTAAGAGATGACATCAACTTTCCCTTAAGAAGTATACAAAAATATATGTCGATGATTTACAAAATTAAGAAACAGCTCCAAATTAGGGAACTTGCTAGTTCTTCCGCATATGTTAAGTTGTAACCAATTTTCATAGATAAGTTTAAGTTAATAAGTCCAACGTAATCCAAAAGAGATTTAGGTAAGGTTAGATTGAGCTGGCTGACCCTTTGGGTCTCACACAGATGCCAATACATCCATAGTGTTGCTAGAAACACCACATGCGAACAAGCTGCACTTCTGCTGTTTTCCGCAAATTGAAGTAGTCACTCTGTCCGCTTGGCCATTGTCTACTGATGATCGTCTATCCTCTCTGCGCCAAGTAACCATGTCGTTTGTCTGCCGAACATCCCTCAGCTCGTACCCAGAGTCTATTCGCCTTACGAAGTGGTATTACTTCTTGCTTTGAATTCACTTCCTGAATGGAACTAAAAGGTTCATTACTACGACCAGCCAATTCGTCAGCTATCTTGTTACCTTCAATGTCCGTGTGACCTTGTATCAAGTAAATGTAAACTCTTTTTTTTCCAGACAGCACTTGAATCACCTCTTTACATAGTGCGGTCACAGCTGACTTCGTATTGTATGAAATTAGGGCCTTTATGGTCGCTTGGCTAACGACGTAGATTTTTTTTCCTGTGCAACAGGAACATGTTTTGTATGTATGTATGTATATAGTGCTTGCACTCATGCTATATAAAATCTCACCTCAATCTAAAGATTTCGAGTTCCGCTTACCTGGTTGACATCGCTAATGAGTGAAATATCCAGTCAGGTTTTAGCTCAAACTGATTCCCACTCTAAATATGTAAACAAAAAAAATACACAAAACGAAAACTTAAGTCAAAACATGTAAGGAGAGCTATCTTTGGTCATGCCGAAGTCTTTATACCTTTCATGAACCCATCAAATTTATAGTAAATCATTGTATGCTTAAATATTTTTAGGTGTAGCAAAAAGAAATTCATTATTTTTGAAGCTGATGGATGGTTCAAATGGTTCCAAACGGGTTTTTGTGCCATCGTTAGCTCTTGGACAATCGAAACAGTGCTTATATGACGTCCATGAATTGAACGACATTCTCGACAATTGGCCTTCCAATGCGTCGCATCTTTGACATCAAAATTACCGGAATGAAGCCGAAATTTTGCTTGATTGACTGTAACGGTATGAGGACCATGGACATGAGCCGCAAAGAAAAACTGTCAAATATAGCATATTTTATCTTTGCTAGTATTTAACTTCATTCCAGACACAAAACTGTCAGAAAAGCTGTTTTTTAGTACGAAATGACATCTTTCTAACGCCATCGTGGTACCCGATCGGACTCGCGGGATACAGATAAATAGTGTCATCTATTGGAGAAATAATGGATTTCTTTCTACTATACCTAATATATTCGAAAGTACGGAACTTTGACGAAAACTTTACAACTGGAAAAATATGCATATGTTATAATCGTCCGATTTCGAAAATTTTTAGCACCAATTAGTAGTTTATCATATTATATGTTGCAGACCGCACGACCTCACGCCCTCACGCTCTTAGAGGTTTTTATTTTTCTATTTTTTTTTTTTTTTTTTTTTTTTTTTTTTTTTTTTTTTTTTTTTTTTTGAAAATGTATGGCCAAAAATCTCAAATCAGAAATCGGAAATATCTTAAAATCTCTAGTTTTACGTACAAACAGACGGACAGGCATGAATAAATCAACTCAACTCTTCATACTGATCCGTTCGGTATAAATTTTGATGGGTCTATCACTACACATAGATACATACTTCGAACCAAAGTTGATATATTATTTCAAGTATTGTAGATGAAAGGTATAACAATATATAGATTGGATTGAAGAGATCCCCGATGGAATCATTCTACAATACATTAAATACATATCTAAACAGATATATACATACATACATCTGTATGTATTCAAATTGTGCAGCGCCAGCAGTATTATTTATTATTATGTATTGTTAAATTGTACACATATTTATGTACACATTTACGTACTTACGTACATATATTTTATTTTAATTTCTTGCCAACCTTTGCATCATCGTCGAGAGATCAATTGAATTTGTGACGAGTGCGCAAGTTTTTATGAAAATGCACAAAGAAATACTCCCAACAATATCGCGCCGCTCATTTGATATTTCGAGTAAATCTCTCCGTAGAGCAAACACATCGATGACAGCACAGACATCATTTGATGATTGGTCTCGCGAAGGGAACCGAATCAGTGCGATGTCAAATGAACTAAAAACTAATCGTGAGTTGAGCCAAATCGCGTTGAGTTGGCGCTGTTGAGTAGCAATTCGACTGCGTGCGGTGACGGTTAATTAATTCAATTAAATCGTTGTTATTTGCCAAAAAGGCAGCAAATAAGCTGGTAAATACTTGACAAAACAATTTACATACATACATTTGTATGTACATATGTGTTTAGTGATAGAACACCATGAGTAAATAATAAAATAGTTCTCCATAATCGGTTATCGTTGTTGTTGTTGTTGTTGTTGTTCTTCCAGTTGTTATTATGTGCTATTTTAGTGTTTACTGGAGAGTTTACAAATATTGTTGACGCAGTTGCTTTTGTTACTATTATTATAATTTTATATATTTGTTGTACTCTTCTACATATGTACTGGCTGAAGTGTATATTTAGGTAGATAATCTCCAATTTGTATTATCTATACATTGGCTTGTCCACCATATCCTATTCACCTTGCTGTTGTCATTAATAGAGTGCGGTGATGTGATATTTTCCAAGCATCGTTTCAGATATATTCGATATTCCAAAAACAAAAGCAAAAGAAAAAGAAAAAGAAGTCGAAGTCGCTGTTTTTGTAATATGCGTTTTGACATTGAAATCGTTCACGCTACAAGTTCAAAGTATTGAAACGCACATAAGGTGATTTCATGGTGCTGAATTTTAATGCGAAAAACAAATTTAAATAAATGTGTGGTGTATATTCGTATATAAAGCTAAATTACTAAATGTTTGTTTAATTTCTAATTTTGTTTTTTTATATTATTAATAATACAATGTGAAAGCAATCGTATTATAATTTGAAAACAATAAGCACATATTTTTACAAATTATTAGAGCAGAGAAAATAATAATTAAAAATACTGGGAAACCTTATGATTTTCTAAAAACATTATTTTATTACAAGTGTTAAATGCTTTATTTTGAATTTGCGCTCTCAGAGTTCAATTGCCAACAGCAATAATTAAATTGATTTATATTTTGTATATTTCCCTATACTCACATCATTGAAAGTACTTTTTTTTATTATTATTATTATGTATGCATTTATTTATGAACAGTGATTTAAAATCGGAGAGTGACTAGTTTGCTCAATTAATTGGATGTGAAAAGCCAAAGGTCTGCAACATTCGCACTCAGCGCCATTCCCAATAAATTAATTAAACACTGTCCAACAAAGTGGTATTACAAGTTATAAATTGTCTGAATTTCTGATTTTCTGTCCAATGCTTTTTTTCTTCTAATTTCGTGGATACAAATCGAGTTCCTTGACATCCATTGCCTCACAAAATTTATATGTTGTTAAAAGATGTTCAACGTTGCAATCTATGTATGTATGTATGTATGTATGTATGTATAGAAATGTGCGTTGGTTGTGCGCGCAGCATAGATGCATACGAGTGCATATAAATGTGCTTATGTACGTGTATGTACATGCCAACATGAAGCGATAAATGTACAAATCAAATGTTATTGGTGTGTTTATGGTAAGATCAGAACAGGTGCATGTCTATCGGTGCTGTGTGTTTGTGTGTGTGTGTGTGTGTGTTTATAAGCGCGTGCACCAGTACTTATATTCATACATATACATTTTTACCTGTCAATGACTTGTACTTTATTCAAATAAACTTTTTAACATTTCTGTCTAATCGCAGCGAAAATTCCATTTAGTTGCGCGCAGCACCGCTACCCGCGTTATTCTGCAGGCAGCTGTCCCTTCACTTCACTTCACTTCACCTCACTTCACTTTGCTCATGACAACATTTTGCTTTGTCGACAGCAGCAGCAGCACCGACGACAATAGCCGCCTGTGATGACGAATGCAAAAGCTACCTAAAAATTTATTTTCGGATTCTGATAATTGCGAAAAAAAAAAAAATGAAAACTATGACCAAACTGCTCATATAATTTTCTCTACATTGCGTTGAAATTATGCTTTTATTTAAACTCAATTTTTAATTTTTTTGGCACCTTTACTCACATGTGATTTATTTTGTTCTTATGTATATATTTTTCTTGCTAGCTCTCTTCATTCAGCGCTACTACAAGCACATAGGGTGCAGCTTGCCAAGAATTCGTGTCTTGCCGTTTTTTTTTTTTTTTTTTGCTTGGCAGCTGCTGGTGCTGGTGCAACAAATATTCATAACAATTATTTTTACGCCAAAATATTAAATATAATATAATATGAATTATCCGAAAATCGTTCGGGCTTAAAAGCCTAATTTAAAAAATCAATGAAAGATTAATCTTTATTAATTCTTTGAATTTTTTTAATGACAAAAAAATAAATAAAAAAAATTATATGCACCTGCCAAATTGGATTTTTTTTTAGTTAAATAAACCAGTTAGAGAACGTACCACCTTTATATTATCTTACAGAAAGTGCTTGCCTTTGAATGTCAGTTTTTTACCTGGTACATGTTTTTGTTTAAGCCGCTAAAATATTCTACAAAGTTATTTTTGAGGAATGTAGCGAGAGTGACAGCCCTTGGCCGAATAAAAATCCGTGTCGTTCCGGCTGTAGCGGGAATTTTTGGATTTTAATCGTCTCTTATAGGCATGCCTTACAGCGCAAAAATTCTTGAGCTCCTACCAGGCAGGACATCCCATAACATACCAGGAATACTTGCAGATATACTTTGCTTATGATTCCATACCTACCATTCCGTGACAGTCTCGTTTTCAAATTACAAAATATGCAAAAGAAACCTACAATACCATAATTAGTCGATTAGAATTCTTAGTTTTTTTACCTCAGAATATATCATGAAATCATTTTTAAATTACCATTTTACATTTTTCTTTCAGATCAACCAACGTGAAAGTGCTTCAAATACAAGACACACAAAACAATTTTCCAAGCTGTCACTGTAGTCCGTAACATTCGTACACATACAGCCATCAGTATGCCTGGAACGGCAATCCAGATAATAAACACCTCAGAGGAGCATACGTTCTTGCTGAATGAAGATGCATTAAGTGAGGTGTTGATGCGTGATGAGGTAAAGGATCGTTTCGTTTGTGTCGTGTCAGTGGCTGGCGCTTTTCGCAAAGGTAAAAGTTTTTTGCTCGACTTCTTCTTGCGCTACCTATACTCAAAAGTAAGTTGTCATATAGTATGAGTATTGTAAAAGAATTTCCACTAAAACTGACGGTTCTGTCTTTAACTTGCAGTATGTGCGTCATGATGTTGTAACCGATTGGCTTGGTGATGATAACGAACCGCTTACAGGTTTCTCGTGGCGCGGCGGCTCTGAACGTGATACCACAGGTATCTTGATGTGGTCCGAAATATTCCTGCACGATTATCCAAACGGCGATAAAGTGGCCATTATATTGCTCGATACTCAAGGAGCTTTCGACAGTCAGAGCACAGTACGCGATTGTGCTACGGTTTTTGCACTTAGCACAATGGTTTCTTCCGTGCAAATTTATAATTTATCGCAAAATATACAGGAGGATGATCTGCAGCATTTGCAGTTGTTTACAGAATATGGTCGCTTGGCTTTGGCGGATACAGGCAAGAAGCCGTTTCAACGTTTACAGTTTCTGGTACGCGATTGGAGTTTTCCATATGAAGCCGAGTATGGCGCTTTAGGCGGCGATAAGATACTTAAGCGCCGCCTAGAAGTGTCAGACAAACAGCACCCGGAACTGCAGTCGTTGCGACGACATATTGCAGCCTGTTTTATGGAAGTGGCATGCTTCTTAATGCCACATCCAGGCCTAAGCGTTGCAACCAATCCCAAATTCGATGGTCGACTCAAGGACATAACACCTGAATTTAAACAGAGTTTGCGCACATTTGTACCAATGCTGCTATCACCCGACAATTTGGTATATAAGGAAATCAGTGGCCAACGAGTGCGTGCGCGAGATCTTATACAATACTTCCAATCATATATGAGCATCTATAAGGGTAATGAGTTGCCAGAGCCAAAAAGCATGCTAGTGGTAAGTGGTAGTTGTTTCGTTGACTCCACGTCACCAGTATTTATATACATAAGTATATATTTTTCATATCTATCAAAACGTGATTTTAGGCCACCGCCGAAGCTAATCATTTGACAGCCGTTGCAGCAGCCAAGGAACTATACAATCAACTTATGGAGGAGGTTTGTGGCGGTACTAAACCGTACTTAAGCACAGCACATTTGGAGGCAGAACACTTCCGTATCAAAGATCAAGCGTTATTCCAAGTAAGTGGCAAACTTTAATCAAAAAAATTTTCGTTAAATTTTTTCTTTTGTCTTTTTTTTTTGCATTTGTATATAAACAGTTTGCATCTAAACGTAAGATGGGCGGTGAAGAGTTCTCCGAAAAATTCCGACAACAATTAGACGTGGATCTAGAAGATTCATATGTCAATTACAAAGCGCACAATGAGAGCAAGAATATTTTCAAAGCTGCACGCACGCCGGCCGTGTATTTTGCGGCAGCGGTTATTTGTTACGTTCTAAGTGGAATATTCGGCCTAGTAGGCCTCTACACATTTGCCAATTTCTGCAATCTAGTGATGGGAGTCGCTTTATTGACATTGGCACTGTGGGCGTATATTAGGTGAGGAACTAATAGCATCGAACAACAGTGTTTACTAAAATACTAAACTGTGTATTTTCCGGTTACAGATACAGCGGAGAAATGGGTGATTTTGGTGTCAAATTGGATGACTTTGCGACGTTTATGTGGGAAAACGTAAGCATAAAATCATTACATTTTTTTTTTTAATTTTTAGGAAACTCATTAAAATTTTTTTTTTTTTTTTTATTTGCAATGTTTTCAGTTTATGAAACCCATATATCAAGGTTGCATGGAGAAGGGCATTCAGCATGTGGCAACGCATGCTGCCGAAGCGGCAGTCGGTGGACGCACAACATCGTCTGCAATGAACGGCAAGGTGAAGAAGTCATGAGAATACGCCCAAAAATTACTTCAACAGCAACAGCAACAACAACAAAACCAGCAGCTTCAACAAAATTCTAAAGGGAAAACAGCAACAACGAAAGCCAACAACAACAATAATGTAGCTCAACAGAAAGTTACCAGAATGACAGCATCTGTGACGCAGGGTAGTGAAGGTGGTAGCGATTTTGGCAAAGCTTTGATCATGCACTTCTGGTCACGTTTTGTAGGTGCAACCGCAAGTGAACGGACAAACTTTGCTCAAACGGCCAATACTGCAGCAGGTCAAAATGCTACCTCCACTTCCCTGAATAGTGATGTCAATGTCAGCAGCGGCTGCAGCACAGGCAATACAGCAGGCATGAATAATGCGGCTAGCAATCGCAAAAAGCGAAGATCTAAGAAGTGAATGTAGTGTATAGAAAGAATATTATATAAAAAAAAAAACTCGCCCAACACCTATACAAAATATTTGTTAGCTAAATTGCGTATTTTTAACGCATATTTCATTAAATAAACTTCTGTAGACTTATTGTGCAACTCAACGCGTTGAAATATATTTAATTGTATTTCGAAAAATTTCAATATTTCGACATTATTATGAAGTTGCACTTTAAGACCATATCTTTGCCCAATAGCATTTATCCTTTATGCTAAACACTAATATAACTAATAGCAACATTTTTAATTGATACATTGGCCTCGGTCACTGTTGTTGTTGTACGTAAATATAAAGAATTTTTGTTACTATTACATACTTGGATGAATTGTATTGTTTTCATGCTGCCTTTTAAAGTAAAATGAATAAAATTGAAACATTTCACACTTGAAATCATGGGGCTTGAGCATGAGTACGGCAAATAAGATTAAAATCTGAGTTCAACTATCGTATTTTCTTTTTTTTGCAATCACACAATAAATACATGTATACAACTTCGAAATTCCCTAGCAACGCAGTGTTGAATATAATTGAAGCAATATAAATAGCTGCTGTTGGCGAAAGTCATTCTTACTTTTATTCCCGTTAAAAATCGTCAATAAAATATTCTTAGTAGAAATAGTAAAAAAAAAAGTGATGTGTCATTTGTGAATGGAAAGAATTTATAGATATTTCGCACCGATTTTTATTTAATTTTTTTTTTATCCACCTACCTGCATAATTATGTAAAACTAAAAGTAATGTTTATAATTAATTTGTTAATAACTAAAATATGTACAATTAATGTTGCATATACGTACCATTTCTTTTATACAATTTTTGTCTTCTATATCTCTCTAAGAATTATTTGGTTAAGGTATTGAATGCAATGAACATATATACAGCAATTGGAAATTTTAATTTTTTGAAATTAAAAGGAAAATAAAGTGAATAAATATAAAAAGATATGAATTTTGAATTTCGAACGTAAATATGTACATATTAATCTGGGAGAGCAACGATCATTAGATAAGGATTCCAAGTTTAAACACATATTTCCCAAATAAAGAGAATAGAAATCAAGAAGGAAGTGCTACCAAGCTGAAGCCTTTATACTTTTCATGAAGACATCCTATTTATTTTAATGCATGATTTTTTGACCTTTTGGACCCAAAGTCTTATATCGGACTACGATGATTCTCACCAAATATTTAATGCATTATGTAGAATAACTATTTTCATTTTCTTAGGTGCTTTATTGAAGAACTTAAAGCCGAAAGTTACATATCCACACAAAAAAAGATAGAAGATTCACATTTACTTTTCTTTCTGCATTTAAAAAAAAAAATATGAGTATGTAATTTTAATTTGAATATTTTCGAAAATGTCGGACTGCTCCATTTTCCCAAGAGGAGAGTAGTGTTCCTGTTAATAACAAGAAAAAAGTCAACTATGAACCCAATTTCCAGTAAAAAGTCGATTTCCCCACATTTTTTTTCTTACAAACCTTCCCGAAACTAAATTAACAAACTGATCAATTTTTCGAACATACTAGGAAACAAACATGAAAATAAAGGTTTTATAGCTACGAAGGAGGATAAATTGAACTCTCCCTGAGCTTTACCTGTTTTAAGATAGATAAATTGGAATCTCCCCTACATGATGCTTTCCTCATTTCATTCACATTTCATATGAAATATGAAATAAGTATGATGAGTAATCGGCACACGTTAGCAGAGGTAAATATGGTGCAAACCATATTTCTTCACTTGCCTATTTATATTTACATAGATTTCCTGGTATAGAATACCAAATTTCCTGCTAAAAAATCCTCATACCTAAACAAACGATTGTATGGGAGCTATATATATTTTATAATGATCCGATCTAGACGGTTCCGACAAAGTTTGGTTAAAATAACTCAAAACGGGCGTTCGGTCGGACTTAATCAACTTAGCTCGTCACCTGACTCAATCGGTATAAATTTTTGGGGGACCATCTCTTCTCCTTCTGGTACTTACATATAAAATAAAGTTCCTGTCTGATGGCAATTAAATTATCCTTTCGTTTTCCTCCATTGTTCGTCATATAAATCTAACTCAATAGGCTGTAGTATTTAGTTTTAATGATGCACGCTCACTTACATAGGCTCACAGGAAACAAACAGGAAGAAAACTATCTCTTGTCATCAAACAAGCGAACTTCGTCATGACTTCAAAATTTTGTTCAATTTCCCCAAAGGGCATCTGGACATCACAGCTGAATAATGGACATTCGAAAAACACAGATCAGAGTGTTAAAAATCTTGATCCTTGATGATCTAGTTGATATAGGTGTCTATTTATTTCGGTACTGGAAATGAAAAGAAAATTTGTTTATATTTTGAAAAGCAACTTTTAAGCTAGGGATCGCACATAAACCAAGTGGCTACATATTAGGCCTTCCGGGTCTCCTCCCTCCCTTCATGTAGCTCAGCGTAGCCCTCTCTGTGAAGCATCCTCCAATGGGTTGAGGCTGAATTATGATTGTCTGTAGTACTACGTTCCAGCACAAGAAAATTCCGGAAATTACATGGCTGCTTTCGGATCGAAAAACTCACAACCATATCGATCATGTTGTGATAGACGGATGACAAGTCCATACTATTCTAGATGTGTGTACGTACCGAGGACCTAACATCGACTCGAATTACTATCTTTTGGCAGCGGAGATACGCTCAAGTCTCTGTGCGGCAAAGAACGCCCGTGAACCTACGTGTATATATACAAAGCAGGTGCCAAATCGAAAAGCTACACACTAAGTAGATGGTGGTTTTCTACTCGACTTGCACACCTGCATTCGGACAGCACTCATCAGCCATAAAAAAACTGATACAATAAGAACTGCCGAACTACAAAGGAGAAAAAACAGACTGCATTCTTCGCAACCTTTCGATCGATCACAACACGTGCAAGGCACATTTACATGAAAAAAGGAAAGAGGCCGAAATGTGTGAGTAAGAAAAGAAGCTGGCCGACAAGGGTAATGCTCGAAACGGCGACTTACTGAAGGTATCAAGACCGGATCAAACTCTTGTAGGACCCAAAGTGGTGATCTAGTAACGGATGCCCAGAGTTTACTGAATTTATGGAGGGAACACTTCTGATGAATGATACACCCGGAGATGATGAAGCCGAAACGGCAGTCGATGACGATTGAAAAGACGTTCCATTACATCACTGTGAACTGATCAAGTGCATGCATCAGCTTCTTTGCAGAAAATGGTCGTATGAAATCATGCCCGTCGATTGGAATTTAAGTGTGCTCTGCACAATCCATCGAAAAAGGGGACTGAACAGTATGCGCTAATTACCGTGGAATAAGCCTCTTTATTGTCGCATATAAGGTCCTATAGAGCGTATTGTGTGAAAGACTAAAGACCAAAATACTAAAAGCTGTGTCAGGATCGGGAAGTAACTCTCCGACCCATTCAATACCAATCGAGGTTTCAGACAAGGAGATTCCTTATCGCGGGATTTATTGCTGAAAAAATAAAATAAAAGCTGCAGAGCTGAATAGAGAAGGTACAATCTTCTATAAGAGCGTACAGCTGCTGGCGTACGCAACTGATATCGACATTATCGGCCTCAACAACCGCGGCATGAGTTCTGTTTTCTACAGATTCGGTAAGGAAGCGAAGAATCTGGGTCTGGTGGTTACCGAGGTCACACGAAATATATCTGTCATCAAGCAAACAGTCATTGTATTCCCGATTAGGCTCCTGCATCACTGTTGGCAGTCATATCTAGAAGTCCTAGATAACTTCCTCTATCTTGTAGCCAATATTAACACCAACAACAATGTCAACCTGGAAATCCAGCGCAGAATCAGTGCTGCTACTTTGGGCTGGGTTGGCAATTAAGAAACTTCTGATAAAAATCCATCAACCATTCGGAAGAGGCTAAGACTGTAGGTCCATTTGAAGGAAAAACAAGACACCTGCCAGTAATGAGAGGAAACGCTCTTCCAAAAGTAAGCAATGTATTTAAAAATCGTCACTTTATTATTTCAATAACAGTATATTTTTAATTTATACGTATTTGCCTAATTTGCCTAATTTCCACATTTCTTTTCGCCACCACCTGCGCTGCAACAAGATTTAGTTGTGCCTTCCGCATTTTTTCCAACATTGCCTCCGTGGCAATGGCACTTTGCATCCTTTGCACATTTGCATCGATCATCACATTTGTCTGGTGTGCACTTGCAATCTGAAAATATCATGAAATTATTGTGAGATTTCATATGTATTATGACTTCGCCAAATTATACAAATCACTCCACCCACCTTTTTCACATCCTTTGCACGGCATCTTGAACTTAAGAATGTTAACTTGCGACTTGTCTCAACCACGTACTAAATTTACTCGTAGCTTCGGTACTGCGCATGTCGATACACTCGGTGTACACTCTTATTGTGCCCTAATCGACTGAAAGAAGAGTACAATTCATAGAGTATTCTTAATTAAGACCATTTAAAAATAATATTTCTTATTCGCAAAACCCTTTTGGTTGTCGAGTATCTCTGTGATCTGTGTAGGACCATTCCTAATTACACATTCAGATGTTGGATCCTTTACAACTTCAAAGTTATAACTGTCAATAGTGACAGTGACAAGGGAGTTCAGCCTTGGGGACACCGGCTGTTGTTGTTGTTTGTTGAAAATAGATAATCCCCGCTCGCCACCGCGCCTCTCCGCATTGCTTTATAATGGCGCAGTTGTTGAGTTTAATGATATCTATATCTATAGGTTTTGCTGAAGCGATTTTTGGACGAGCCCCTCCACCAATTTATGATTTTCGTTCTCATTTATTCCAACAAATGGATTTTTCTGAGAAGCTTTTATTTCACATTTTTTACCGGAAGAAGTACGCAATAAGAAAAATTTATATAACTTTTTATTTAATTTAAATTTCTAAAGTTTTTTGGATGTTGATAGGATTAGGGCTCGAACCCTGACTTTCGGTTATCGCTGCTATTAAGTTGACATATCCCACCACAGTTTAGGTTAGGTTGCAGTGCCTACCGATCTGTCAAGCCGGATTCATTTAGGTCTGACTTAGGCCCTTTGTGATACCACAATAACTTAAACCATCAGAGTTCATCCGCCATCCATTTTGATTCTCTAATGAACCTCATTAGATGCACAATTTTGACGACAGCTATCTTCGATAGACCATCCGGCAGTAGGGTCTCAAAATTACGAATCCTCACCCTGCTTAAAGTCGCAAAAGAGATGAGTGATCGACTAATCCTCTTCATCCTCCTTGCAGCTTCTGCAGCATCTTTCTTAGGCAACCTGACGTCCTATCAGTCAATGGTCTGTCTGAACTTATATAACTTTGGACATGTCACCCCTTTTTAAGGATTACATGCATTTCGTGATCTCATGTGTGCCTGATTTTGCGGCAGTTTGTAATGTCATTCCACTTTGTAGCGACTTGCTCATATATGAATTCGTTGAGAAGTAGTTTGCATGAAGCAAAAGGCATACCAATTTCTTATTTATAGAGAAGAATCTGCTTGGTCGTACCTCACCTGGCAAGTTGATCCGCCACACAGATTCCTTCGATGTCCTTGTGACCAGGGACCCATGTGAGAGACAGTCTGTTCTGTTTGGTCATCCCCTGTAGCCATCGGCGACAGTTCAGCACTAATTTGCATAAACGTGCTGAAATGATATATATCCTTAACTTTAAAGCTGGCTCCAATTTACTTTGCAGCCTCCATGATAGTGGTCTGGTAGCCTGAACGAGAGTTTCATCGGGGGGGTTTATCTCACCATAATGCCACCAATTTGATGAATTTGGCTGGCATACTTTAACCCGATTTCTTCGATTCCTTATCTTATTCGTCCTGTTGCCAAACCAGTTGTACCCGCCAAATAGTTCTTCGAGCGCCACCAATTTGGTATTTGCCATCTCCAAATGTTTCATTTACCCTCCTACTAAGCTGGCGGATATAAGACCAAATCCTTAGATCTCCCATGCATATATTCCTTTTTACAGAATTTTCGAACATTTTCGTGTTTAAAGAGCTAAGCACGCGCAAGTCAGCCACTTTACATGTCTGTTTACTACACTTTCTCATCATACCTCCCATAACTGTGTTTTTCTCTACGACAGTGCGGCATTCCGCAGCCCGCAAGCTTTCTTTTTAGAAATGTCGTACCACTAGGGACATACACTTCTACCGTTCATCATAGCACTCATTTAGCTTGTACCTAAATCAGCTAAATCTGATATTTCGAGCACCGTCGAAGTCGATCAGCATCCAATCCGTTTGAGGGTGTTTCGTCATAAAGACCGAGCTTTCCAACTAATGTGCCGAAGATATCTTCTTTATCCATCCTGGCATTGAGACCACGAAGCACAATTTTGACATCGCTCTAAGAACTCTTAAAAAGCCTATTAAGTTTCATAGTCCTTCTCTTTCGTTGGGGCGTAATAATTTGAAGAACTTCGCTTTGATGCGTATTGTAGCGAGACCCTCTTTCACCGAGTTGAGAGCCAGGTACTGGCTTTGGAGTCTTCCTTTCTCCACAAATACATCACCAAATTTGAGCTCCTTTATATGACCGCTGTAGAATGTATATTTCAGAAAGATCCACCTTTTTCGCGCAACCAGTATGCGGTATCGTCCAGATGCATGCCCTCAAATCACGATCCTTAAAACATTTACAGTAATCGCCGTCAAAATGCGGATCTCTCGTCCGAGATATCTTTCGGTTTTCCATTGTAACAGATTTTTTATATGGTCGGCTCCAGACTTTACGCACCACCACATGTGATATGCGTTGTCACTTTTGCATTTGTTGGAGGCCTATAGGGTAGGCTAATAGGATAGAGTAGATAGAAAGATAGATAGGAGTTGATTTAGATGCAATTCTTTCACATTATGTCAATCCAAACGCCCAAATAAAACCTGGCTTGTTTGAAGGGTTGATTGATTTAATGTTATTTTTCTCCGGCTGAATGACTCCTAGTCTTCTTCTAGCGACAACTTCGAATTCAAACAGTAAGTACACCGGTGGTTCCTTCTTTATGCCTAGAGTGAGTTGATTCAATCAGCATGTAGAAGAATCGCTTCTGGACAATCACAGGTGAATGACAGTAAACAACTTTTCCCACATTCGTAGAATTCTACAAATGGCCTCATTCCCTGTGAAATAAACCGATTTCCAGGAAATTTAGAGGAATATTTCTCGCTACATATGATTGCTAACGAAATTAAATTTCATTTTGACAGGCAATACGAAATCACTTAGTTTGTGCGATTCAAAGCTGGGTTCGTCGAGAAATGTCGGTAAAAATTAGGCAGTAACGAAATTGAGAGAGTAAGATGTTTTACTCTCCCAAGTTTTCACCGAAAGAATTCTGTGAAACATAGCCAGCAAGTTGTACAGCAGCTTTTTATTTTAGCGGTTAAATTTGAATTCGCATTTTTACAGTTTATTTTTTCTGGTTTCAAGTATTTTCCCAAGAGTTTTAATAAAATTGGCAATTATGTGACATTTCTAATTAATTTATTGTATTTAAAATTTATTGTATTTGAACAGTGATGGAATCCTACATGCTTTATAGCCGTCCAAAGGTAAACATATCAATATGTTTTTTCTAATATTTCTCTGAGGATTGACGTAAAAAGAACCTGCTTTGCAACAACTTGCCGCTTAGATTTCCAGTGAGGATGACTGAAATACGAAAATAAGTTTGAAATTCTTTTTCCGTGTAAGCCGGCCATATTAACTCAACATTTTATATATAGTTTATTCGATTCTGTTTAAATAAAAACCAAACAAGAGCTATATTTTTCCTTCTAAGCGGCACTAATATCTCATTTTGTGCATCTTCGTCACTTCCGAAAGCTTAAGAATGCATTATCGTCACTGCGACCGTTGCAACAACTTTGCTTCTCAATGTTATGCGGCTTATTTGGTAGACACTGCTTTCTAGAGAATTTATGGAATCCAAAATCATTTTTAGTTGTACAAAAAAAAATATTTTTTAATTCTATGCCTTCGACATTCCTAACTAGTAATTCATCCACGTGGGCTCAGTGGTATGCAGGCGCTGATTTCACGCCACTACCACCACGTTGTCATTTAATGAGTACCGTAACTACCCTGCAAGAACTGACTGATGGGTTCACCAATCCACTCAAACAATTTCGTGCAACACTAAGCAAAGCACATAAGCAAACTTTTTTGTTTGTCATTCTCTTCTGAGCACATACAAATTGGAGAAGAATGCAGTTGAACGGATTATCCGTTTGATTTTATGTTCTTATTTCCGAGTAGAACGCCATTTTTTATAGTTTTCTCCGCAGCAGATAACAAAGAACGTAAAAAAAAATTAAAAATATTGAGAAGGATCCTGTACAAGCTGTGGTAACAGTATAATATTATATATTATCGATTTATATTAATTAACTACTTCATCTTTCATTACTCTTTATTTATTGTTTTTATTTAAGGGCACCTCATATTGTATGGAAAATTAAGTTAATGGAGCAGGTTGACTGGAATGGATGCTTCTCGCCTTGCAGCAGCAGCAGATTTAAAAAAATAATCAACAAAACTCTGCAAGGTACAGCTCCATTTAGCCACTAATAACATTCTGATTCGTTTTCCATGTACGGAAAATTCTGATTGACTGGAATGGATGTTTCTCGCCTTGCAGCAGCAGCAGATCTCAGAAATATTCAACAAAACTTTGCGAAGTACAACTGTATTTAGATATTATTAACATTATTTTTTTATACTTTAAATGAGCCAACATAATGACCATGTCAGATCTACACGGTGTATCCCAGAAATAACCGTACTTTTTGGATATAAAATAAAATACACATTATATTATCTTTGAAAGTTATTATTTATTCAAAATAGGTTCCATTTGACTCAACACAACGTTTGGAACGATCAGCCAGCGCATGTCATTTATAGAAATGTTCTTCAGTACCTCGGTTACGGCTGCTTGAATGTCTGGGATATCATCATAAAATGCTCCCTTCATCTTGGTTTTCAGTTTTGGAAATAAAAAATAGTCGCATGGGGATAGATCAGGCGAATACGGAGTATGGTCGATGAGAGAAATCCATTTTTTCATTAAAAATTCGAGCGATTTTTGGTCGTCATTTAATTCATGTGGAACGAATCGCGCACAGACCTTTCTTTTCCCCAAACCTACAGCTAAAATTCTTCAAATAGTTTTTTTTACTCATATTCAATTTCTCAGCCAACATTCTCGTAGTAAAATTTGCATCGATACCAATGATTTCACGGACTTTTTCCACCAGTTAAGCACGATTACTAGTTTCTGGACGTCCTGCTCTAGGGTCGTCATTTAAATCCTCACGACCATTTTTAAATCGTGTAAACCACGTATAAACTTGCGTACGACCCATACAATCATCACAATAAACTTTCTTCATTTATTTATTTTTCAAGTATGACACAAAATTTTATATTTGCTCTTTGTTCAATTTTATTTTATTTACGGAAATAATTCTTCCAGCATTCAGAACTATTTTAAATTTTCAACTTTGACCTGAATTCGACACACAACACGGCTATTTTTCTGGCACTGCTATTTTAAAAGTCACAGTAAAATAGTACCGCGTAGCACAAAAAGTAACGGGATTTCATGAATATGGTGCCTACAACAGAAATTAATTTAAATACAGGGTGGTAGTATTTGGGCCTGCATTCTGACATTAGCAAATTTCAATGACTGGTATTATTTAGACGTAAGAAAATCATTACATACATATCCATTAGCCTCTGCTATTATTACGCACACAATTGTATATTTTTCTTTTGGAAAAAAATGCTAAGGTAACAGAAAATAATTTTTTCCATTCGATTTTAGGAGTACGCTTTATTTTTCTTTATTTTTTTGTTTATACAGAAAAACAAAAGCAAAGGCAATTTTAAATTTTTTTAAGTTTAGTAAGTTTAAAATTTATTTAAAAAAAATTTAATTGGTAGCACAAAAATAAAGCAAAAATCACAAAATCTTTTTATGTCAGATGGTTAATATTTTGAAAAATGGAAAAAAAAAATTGTTTGAAACTATCAGGTGTACAACTTTGCTTCCGCCGTTTTTTTCTAAAATTAAAAGCTTTATTGCGAGAAAGTGCTTACAGATATATTATTCAAAGTATTGTCCTTCGCTAGCGACAACTTTCTCCCATCTTTCCGGCAATTTTCGGATCCCGGCTCGAAAGAAGAAGTCCTCTTTTGACGCTATCCATGAAGCAATCCATTTTTCCAATTCTTCGAGGGATTGAAAATGTTGATCTGCCAGGCCGTGTGCCATCGAACGGAATAGGTGGAAGTCAGAAGGGGCGACATCTGGGGAATACGGTGGGTGGGGCAAGACTTCGCATTTCAGCGTTTCCAGGTACTTTTTGACCACTTTTGCGACGTGAGGCCGAGCATTGTCGTGTTGGAGGATGACTTTGTCATGTCGCTCTCGATATTGTGGCCGCTTTTCTTTTAGCGCGCGACTAAGGCGCATCAGTTGCGTTCGGTAGCGATCTCCTGTGATGGTTTCACCTGGTTTTAAGAGCTCGTAGTTAATCTTTGAAGGTTTTTTCTCTTCCACCACCATGTTTGTCTTCGACATCGAAGTCATCACTTTTAAAAAATTGAAACCACTCCCGACACTTTCTTTCACTCAGAGCAGCATCACCGTAAGTTTCTGAGAGCATTCGATGCGCTTCAGCTGAATTTTTTTTTTCGAATTGTAACAGAAAAGTAAAACTTCCCGCAAATGGCGAAAATTAGGCACATAAACGGACATTTTCGAGCGTGAATAATACGAAAACAAGAACAACTGTCACTGAAACGGCGATGACAATTCGTTAGGCACTGTCGACACTCATTTTAAAGGAATTATCATCTATGTATTTCAACCAGCCTCAGCCGGTACAGCCAACTATCGGAAAACGGCGGAAGCAAAGTTGTACACCTGATACCTTCTTTCTTGTAACATGGTATAAATAGAGGGATCATTTGTTGGAAAAACATCAAGAAGCATACCACAAATACCAGGAAAAACACATATGTATGTATGCACTCGCCAACTTTCTTTCGGGAATATAATATTAAAGAGGATTGCCACTTCTTTTGCGACTTACATTTACGGCTTTTAATAAATAATTTTAAGTACCGCATGCGGCGGTATCAAACCTTTGATGTAAATTGAACACAAATAATTGAATATTTTGTGATTTGTGAAATAAAAATGAATTCCTTTATAATTAAAAAAATCAAGTCCAATATTTTCTCTTTTTTAACTTTTTATATTACTTTAATAATCATTATATGTAATTAGATAAGTTTATGTGAATAAACTTGTATGTATGCATTGCATGTATGTATGAATGTATATAATATTATGTAGTTATGTATAAGTGTTTAATTTTAATTCAAATTTTACTGTGCCAATGAATTCTTCATATAATTTGATTGATACTCTTTTCTTTACTTTTCAAGTTGACGACTTTGCTACTAATTGTTTTCTTCGTACAATTATCAAATATGAAACGGGATTTTTCGTTTTTTTTTTTTNTTTATTTATACTTATTTATTTTATTCGTTATTACAATTAATTAAGTTACCCTATACTACTACGACAACAGCGGGGACGCATTCAACTCGTTCACACGCAGCGGCGTTATAATGAAATTTCACAAAAAATCATCATTTCGATTTGCTACTCCATTTTTTTTTTCTACTACACTTTCAACTCGATTGTATTACATAGTTTATATGCATATACATACATATTTATTGATATTCGTTAATATTTTTCTTCGCTTGCATCAAGCATAATTTCGTCCATCATTATTTATCTATATATGTACGTCATTATTAATCCGAAGCTTTCTTATATGCACACGCTTTCATGTAAATATATATTTATGTATGTGAGCGTCTGTATTTTTTCAAACAAATGTGTATGTTTCTAGAATAGAGGGATCATTTGGCTAACCATGTAATCTGCAGAAATTATTTTCGCCATTAAAGTATTATTCATTTATTATACAAATTTAAAAACATAATGAATTTGAATAAGAGAGAGAGAGATAGAGAGAAAATAATAGTTTTGCACGAAATGAAATATAAGTTCTATTTCAAAGTATAATTGACCACTAAATAATTAAATAATTAAAATGTTGAATCTTGAGTTTTTACTTTTGTTTTTTTTTTTCTTTCTTTTTTTTTTACTTTCTTCAAATTATAAAAGTAATCTTAAATAAATTCAGTTTGAAATCAATTTTATTAAATAATAAAAATGTGAAATGTTTTGGTATACTAACTGCCACTGCTGATACTCTCCCTATATGCATTTTTGCATTTTATAAATAAAAAAAAATTTCCTTGATATAGAATTATATAAATATTTTGAGAAGATCTAACGTAAAAGACTTACGCTTTGCAAACTATAGTACTACTTGAATCCTCCTCAGTTTGTGATTACACAAAATTCTAACACCAATTTTTATTTTTAATCAGAAATTAGAAGTTATTTTATTAAAATTTCAAAAAAAAAAAAAAAAAAAAAAAAAAAAAAAAATTATTACCCCTATATTACAACAGAAATAAAGTGTTTTATTAATTTTTCTTAAAAACAGTTCAGCTACTTTTACTTTATTACTCCTTCAAGGCATACTTTTAGGAGTTTGCATAAAAAATCTGCCAATAACTTGCGTACGCAAAAATTAATTAATAATTGCATGCTTTCCCAAAATTGTATTGTAATTAAAACATTCACTTTCATTGTTACATAGTATGCGTTATAACTATGTACATATAAACTTATAATGTGTGTGCGTATGTACTTATGTCGGCAGACTTTCAAAATTTCAACGACACATAGTTGAAGTTTGTTAAGCCACGGGAAGTTATTGAATTGAAAGAACGTTTTAAGAAAATTAATTTAAGTAAAAAATATTAAATTTTTTTTAAAGTAAAAATATGTTTTGTAGTTATTCTAAATTATCTTTTATTTTAGTTGATTTAAAAAAAAATAAAGATTTTACTAACCAAATGACCGCAGCAATTTTAAATGAAAATACCTTACAAAAAATTTTCTTAACCTTCTCATATCTAATACTTAAAGCTGCCACACAGACCGAGTGTGTGTGTGCGTGTGAATGCTTGTTGGGTATGAGCGTGTGCATATAAGAGATATTTGTAAATAAAATAACTAATTTCCATTTTATATGTATATAATTATTGCTTGCAATGAATCCAATAAATATTTACTGATTTTTCGTTCTCATTTATTAAAAAAAAAAATAAAATAATAATAATAATTCTTAAGCATGATGGCCGTTTTGGCATTGTTGTTGCTTCCGTGCAATTAAGCTTAACTAAATAACTTAAACCATACAAAATAATATATTTATTTATATGTATATTGAATTTTTTTTTTTTAATTTTGTTTATATGTTCTATATTTTTAATTTATTATTTAATTCCTTTTTTTGTCGCTAATCGGTCTCTTTTTGATAATTATTTACAAGCTCTTCAGTCTGAGACTCTTATCATAACGAATTGTTGTAAAATATAAGACAAAAAGCAAGTTGTAAGAGGAAATTAAAATAATGCTAAAGGGGCATATAATCTACCATAATTAGCACGAGCGCGAAGTATTACTATGTCTGCCCGCGTTAGGCTTAATTAGGAAAATAGGAACTAGAGCGTATACTTATTAAACATAATTTTGATTTGAAATATATTACGCTTCACGCAAGGGTTAGAAGAAAATGCATACAAATTTTGCTGGTCTCAAACTGAAAAATATGTTGTTAATGATAGTTTTTCTGTTTCCTAATTTTTTTTTTTTCGTTTAAAATTCAGTTTATTTATATTTGTATGTATGTATGTATGTTTCTACTCTACACAGATAACCTTTGGTTAGCTCTGTATTGTTCTTTTTCTACTTTCTCACATTCTTATTTTTGACCTTGGGTCAGAAATTCTAATAGCATCATATAATTCTTCATTATCGTTATATTAATATTATTTATATGTATATATCGTAAAACGTCAATATTTCGCATTACATAAACAAAAGAAAATCAAGTCAATGCATTGCACTACTATCAATGTTAAAATAAATGTACGAGTATAAAGGAAAACAAATTCATTTCCTAAGCAGGCGTCACAAATTTGTATGATAGATGATAAACAAGATCATCAATAACTAGCATGAAATGTCAACTAGCGGTAGGTACTTTAAAACGTCGTAATCAAAAACTCAAAATAATGGTTACATTCGTGTACACAAATGCTTTATGTGGTTAAAGAAAATATTTGCAGTTTATAACAATAAATAAGTAAGAGTCAACAAAAAAAAAAAAAAAAATGTTACCGCTAATCCAATCGGTAAATATGTGAGCGCCTCTACTTTTTTTTGTCCACACAACTTTCAACTTAGTCACGGCGCTATTATTCCAGCATTTTACCGAAAAACAAAATATTCAGCAAATCATTAAACGATAACTAAATTTGTTGAGAATGGAGTGCAGCAGCAGTGGCAGCTGATATCGTGGGTGTTGGTGTCGTTGTCGTTTTTGGTTGTGCTGCTGTCAATGGATTAACATGTGTAATTGAATTGAGTTCTTGTTCCTTAGCCAACGGTTTGCTAGTGTGCGCTTTATTTGGCGAATTGTGGCTTTCACTCACGTCCGTCTTAACCTCACTCTGCTCATTAACCGGCAATGGCTTTGTTTCTTTCTTATCAGACGTAATTGCTGCGCTTGATGACGTTGGCGATGCTGCTGCCACGGATATTGAACACGCATCTCTCCTACATTCACCCTCTGCCACATCTGCAGCCATTTCGGCGTCATCTGTGCCGCCGCCCATTACGCCAGACGTCGGTGAGGCACTGCTTTCATCACGTTGCATTAATACAAGTATGCTTTTTATGTATGTCTCCATGGTCAGTAAGAGTCTTATGCGTTTTTCGTGCTCCTCGAATAGACGCACCTCAATGGATTTCTTTTGTGTGTTTTTGCCCTGTTCCAGATGAGTTGCTGCAGCAGAGGAACCGGCTGCGGTGGTCGTTTGTGCTCCTTGGCTGCTACCAGCCATTTGATCATCAGCATCCTTACCAGGCACCTTTTTTGGTGTGTCCTTTATGTCTTTATCACTTTTCACTTGGTTCTCCTTTGGTTCAACTTTATCGATTTTTTCTGTTTTGGCAGTATTTTTTTCGTTATTTTCATTCTTTGCATCTACATCATCACCATTTTTATTCTCACTATTATCTCTATCACTTTTTTTCTCTCCAATTTGAGATTTTTCCGCTTCCATAGCCTCTGCGGGATTCTGTGCTGAATTGTGGCTTTTATTCAATTCCATCTCACTATCTACCTCCATTGATACGGTTTCTGAAGATTTTTTCATATCTACCATTTTAGAAACTGTAGAACTGTTTGTGTTAGTGATTTCGTCCAATTTTGTGGATCCTTTTTCAGCAGGAGGCGGCGAATCATCTAATTTAAGTTTCTTGTTTTGAGTTATTTCCAATTCAGCTACCTCTTGATAGCGCGAACTCTTGTACAGTAATGCTTTAAGTGATCCTCTCAATTGCTTGCGGACGGAAGTCGGTATACCTGTACATTGTGCTATAACTCGAATGGCAAACAAATCGCCACAGAGATCATCTAGATCTTCCTTTGAATGCATCGAGTAACTTATTGTGTAAAGAAGACGTGCAATGGGCAACTGGGCAGATATCTAAGCAATAAGAGAAAAATCGCAATAAATAAGCAAGTGAATTTTTTAGGAACAAGATTGAAAAAAATCAGAAAAGTATACCGATTTTCACTTCTCATATATCTAGGACTTTTTTATATCATTTAACTCTAAAATTTTTATATAATAAATAATTCGATTACGGTTTTAACTTTTTGTACCTCAAAAACCAGTCATGATTAAAATTGATAGGGATTTTTTAAGGTTAAATAGCTTTCCAGTAAACGTATCTATTAAACAAACTCTATTAGAATTAAACTCCACCCGCATTTCCTTGTATTACATTGCCGAAATAATCTGAAGTGGCAACAAAGGGTAGAACGTAAGATTTCGGAGCCAACCAGTCTGATCTCAACCGATTCGTTAAGCCCTATAGTAGTTCAAATTCTCTTGCTAAAATGCGTTTATGACTAGATTAACACAGATTCTCATTCTGATTCTTAAATTTTGAATGGTTTTTTACTCTTTTCCGCGGGTATAAAATATATTGGAAAGAGCTTTAATGCCTTAACATGCTCCCCAGATAGTTATGAAATAGACTTTTCGATATACTTGCCTTGGGATAATAGATTTCTAAAAAGTTTCTTATGTAATGATCACTGAGCGACACTCGTTCATCCCGCAATATTATGTGTATGTATTCAACAAGATATTGATTGTTGATTAGTAATTCGGCATACCTGTAAAATACATTAGACAGCAAATAATTCAACGCTTGCAAAAATCTTTTAATAAAACATCGTTTAATACTTACTTGTTTGTGGTTTTATTGTTGTAAATGCCCACCCAAAATTTGGGAAATAAATTGAAATGCAATGGTGCTGCTTCGATCGCCACCAAGCAACTCAACTTTACCAAAGTCTCATTCAATTGATTTGTATTCACTGCCATACGCATCATCACATCCAAAAAGTCATGATAAGGCCGATAAAACGCCTCAACCTGTGCATCGTATTCTATATCAACACCCTTCTGCAATATTTCACCGTGTGGTATGCTCATCTGCACCATGGGACGAGGTGGTCGAGAAGTATTCTTCGACATAGTTGGCCAGGGTGCTTTGGCACCACGTCTGGGAAAATATGGCCCCAGGGGACCAATATTGCTCGGTGCATTCGCCACAGAGAGATGGCAATTAATGAGTATGGGTGCCAGAATACTTGTCACATCCAAGCTGGGATTGCGTACCAATTCCTTGAGCACTTCTAGTGAAAGGCTGCAAATTTCTGGCGGATTGAATGTGTTGAGAAAAGTGGCCAATCGTTTCACAGCATCAGGTAAACGTTGTTGTTGCTGTTGTTGTTGTAGCTGCTTTTTACTGGAGCCACCGGCAGCCGATGGCGCATCGAGACGAGTACTCATACGCAGTGTAGTTAGCAATAATACCAATTCACTCAGTAACTCTTGTAAATCACCCGATACGTGACAAGCCGTTGCCTCATGATGCATGGAATGTAATGTGTGTAACGCCTCGAAACACATTTCTATGCCGCCATTATAAATTACCAATAGGCGATCTTCATCATTGTCAACTGTGGACAATTCATAGAAAAGTAGAATTAAGATATTAATCAGTAATTAGCTACATTGAAAGGGTTTTTGTATTTTTTTTAATCTTACTCAAAATTCGTAATGCATTTATAAGTGTGCCCCATGAAACTCGCGCATCCAAACTAGTCAAGTAAGCCGACAGTGTTGTGCGCCGGAATGTACCCACTTCATGTTGCTCCTGTTCACTAGCCTCCGGATGTCTGGCGGCAAACAATGCCATAAGTTTAAAAAGTTCATCAACCGCAGCCGCATATTGTGTCGGATGCGGCGTTATATTCTTGAAAGCCCACTGTAAATTCTGATGGGCAGCGAGTTGACGAGTAAGCGCACGACTTTGTTCGCAACATGAACGCAAGAGGCCATAATAAGCGGGTAGCATGGCACGATTGTAGGCGACTATCTCGGAATCTTCGTGGTCAGCGCTGAACATAATGTAAGGAATAGAAAGCCATATAGTATCGAAAAATCAGGAATTCATTGATGTAACTTTTAATTAACTTACAGAATATAATTAAATGCAATATTCCGTGTAATTTCATGACAATTTGCTACAATGAGTGCATTCTCAGGACAATCGACAATTGAGTGGTGCCAAAATGCCAGCAGAGCATGCTTATTGTGATGTGCCGGAACGCTGGGCTCTGACAAACGTGGATGGAAGAGATCCCATAGTGCACGCATATAAGGACCAATCTGAAAGTTTTCCAAAAATTACATTAGTGAATTTCAATTCTGATTACGTAATTAGTAGAGCATATTTTTTTACCATTAGTTTTTCAGTCTTTGAAACCATGCAGTAACTAAGCAAACTGAAATAAGTTGTGAGTTTGGTTGTGCCATGTATGCCGATATCTGCATAGGCCCGAGCAGGTCGGAGTAGACGAAGTAACAAATTAATAATATTGTGCAAAATAATTTGAGCATCACTATTTAAGTCACTGTAATAATTTGAACAAATAAGAAATCTTGCAATATATTATGCGAAAATTTGCAGCGAGCTCACCGGTAAACATGTGCAGATAATTTATGTAGAGAATGTGTACGGAAATTCGCCCTAAATGGTTGAGATGGCACCAGTGACACGAGCAAATATGCAGCAGCTAGGAAATAAATTAAAAAAATATATATATGTAAACGTTACTTAGCGTATACAAAAATATAATAAAGCTTTCTTGGAAAATAAACTCACCATTGCGTACACGGGAATTATTGTGCGCTAAAAGATATTGTTCTACCCAATTATCAGCGGATTGTAGTATCCATGCATGGGCAATTTTATTTTTTGGCGCCTGGAATGCGAGCCAATCAAGCGCTGACTGAGGACAATACTCTGCTGCATCCCAAACTCGTTGCAAAACCAGTTGTGAGAAACATGGTAAGCCGGACGGTCCGCCTTGGGTTTCGGTTAGTAATGTCAGTAGCTTGAAGAATGGACCACACAATTCCGTATGTTTTGTTACGGATGAGAACAACATTGTAATGATTTGATTCGCTAAGCGTTCGTCCCAACGGCACAGTGCATGTATAAGATGTTTAGTTTGATGTGGGTTAATATTATCCTTAATTTGTTGATACAAAAATGGAAATCCCTGATAAAGATAAAATAATCAATAATGTATAAACGTAACGAAATAATGTATGTAGATGTAATTATGCTGAAAATCATTATAGAAGTTTGATGTTCAACTAATTTTTGAAAGTAAACAGGTATGTATATCTCTACTTCCTTTTAAAACTGAATACAATTACTTATACCAATTATTGGTGAAATCAAGATCTTTTTACAGTTTCTCAACACTTTTCGGAATCGTTAGACATTGCATATAATCGAGAGCAGCAAGATCTAAACAAGTCTTAAAATGACTACAATCAGACTGAGCGTAACCTGACGTCATAAAGCCATTTACATAATCCAAACGGATATTCAAATGGAAAAATCTTACTAAAAGGCTTTTTACTTGTCAGTCATTTTTTATCACAGTTTTTTTTTTGCTGCTATTGTAAACAGATCTTGGTATGAGAGACAAAATATTAAGATTTTTAACCACCATCTGACAATTAACAAAATATAAAAACTCATATTTTAAGACCGTTTTTACCTTCCCGCCTGCTATAGCATTATAATCCTTTGTTGAAAGTCGCAACCGGAAATCTTGTCCTCTTGAACGTTCCACCAAATTGGCCACCAACGCAATCATTTTATCCAGTGACGCTGGACGTGTTTTATCAACAGATAAAGCTTCATCTGAGGAATTATCATCATTATCGGAGCCCACATCAATCTGCAGGTGCAATAAAAAAAATAATAAATTTCATTTTATTTGTCATGTATTCAGTACTTACACAATCTTGTGTTTTATTGCCTAGGTAAAAGTCGGCCACACTCTTAATCACATTTATGCGCAATAAAAACACAGTCTCTTCATCTCCCATTCGTGAAAATTCGAAAAGCAATCCGAAGAATTCGGACAAATGCCGTAAATGCGCTTTAGCACCGTGTTCCATTAGCAATATCAATGAGCTAATAAAACGTGTAACGCAAGAAGCATTGCCCATAACCTCTTTACCGTCATCGTCGGTTTCTGTTTTTAGATATAAGTGAGCATGCGAGGATCTGCAAACAAAGCAATATATTTGTAAGATTTAAAAATAGAAATTATTTATGCAAGTTTATTGGTTGTGAGTACGTACCTTAGCCTTTGAATCACATGAATAACAAGCCTCTGGAACATTTGACGTACCATTTGATTGGGACATTGTATGAGCACTTGCACGGGCCACCACGGTTCGATAGACATATGCGTGAGGAACCATTCACATGCTTCTTGGCTGGCATTAAATTGTTTCGTTAACAACTCAATCCAAGGTACCATTGTGGGCTAAAGCGATAAAATGAAAGTTTTTTAATTAATATAAATAAAGTAAGAGAGAACAAAGCACAGTTGAAACATCTGGTTGTTTCAGATATATGAAAATTGGATAGATTGACAAAATACTACTCACAATACACCTACGACCACTATGAAGAAAATTTCATCTGATATCAAAAAAATCAAATATATATATATAAATAAAAAATTGTAAAACGTTTTGAAATTTATCGAAAAAAAAAACGTTTAGGAAAAATTTAATAGAAATAAAATTCTAAAAACAGCCTTGAATATCTTAAAAAACTATCTTTTGTCATCAAACCTTGAAGTTATATTTTAAAAACATAGTAATGAGATCATGATCTGCCGCGATGCCAACAATTTAATTCTTGACTCCCAAGATGATCTTGTCGCGTAGGACTAGACAGGTGAAGCTACGCTAATAATTAATAATAAAACAAAAAGAAAATTGCAAATCATAATGGGAGAAATGCATTTCATTTTTGTTTTAGTCATATGTTGCTATTTACAAAACTTTCTATATTGGGTGGTATTTATATGCTTTAACTTTTCGTTTAAACCAAAATGTAAAATAACTGCAACTAACAAATTTATGTATGTGTAGGCAGAAATTATGGTTAAAAAATGACTTCAATCTAAATTACCTTTTCCTTGGCGTGTATAAAGGTTTCAATAAAGAAAGAAACCGATAACTTTGCTGCCATGCACGTAACATCGGTGTGCGCGAGGAGCGTTTGTGGTATGTGACCACATATTTGCCACATAAAACTATAATATATATATATACAAACGGTTCTTTAGTTATATAAAAGAAACAACAGAGATATTATTTATATTTACTTGAAGTATGTGTGCTCGAATATATTACGATCCTGCAAAAATTGTCTGTTATCCTGCCAAATCCAGTCCTCTAACTCTTTATTTAAAATTGGTATTTGTACACGTGCATTTTTAGTACAAACTTCCATTGTCAGCTTTGTACTTGCAGTAGATGCAGCTGCGGCTGAAGTAGATGCCTGCGGTTCACTATTGGCAGCCTCATCTTTGCCTGTTTCTATTTTTGAACTAATACTTGCCTCTAGCACTTTTGATTTCTGTTCATCATTTGAATTTATAATTGCGCTACTTTTAGCTTCCATAACACTCTTTGCACTATCGGCCGTACTTGTCTCATCAGAATTATTTTTATCGGTGCTAGACTCAGCAGCTACTTCCTCACCTTCGTTTAAAATAGCTGTTTTTCCACTGTCGCTCGTTGAGCGAGAAATGCCAGATGGCGATGCTAGCAATTCCGATTGTCGTTGTTTTAAATGATCTGGCAGACGCCTTTCGTAAAATAGCATATAAGCCGAATTGGTTTTCTCAAAGCTGAAGTCCATGTATTTTTCCGTCACAGAATCATATGTTTTGCTCTGAAAATTTAGATTTTTTTAGAGATAAAACTAATTAAACGTGTATAATTTGGGATATATAACGAATAATCGCTAACTTATGAATTTTCTGCTTAAAGAATATATATAACATCTATTACTTATGCTGCATCTATTACTTACTGTCATTTCACCACCAAAACATTCAGCTGCAATTTGCGATGGATCGAATGGTTTCACCTCAGCATCGTTAAATAAAAACCAACGGTCATGCTGCAACACAGACTTGCTTCGTTCTTTAATAAAACTGTAATAATGACCTCCATCGGCAGTGCCTGTGTGTACTGTTACACCCACCAGCTCATACCTAAATACAAATACAAATGAAAATATAAATTCTCCTTCTTCGCTTCCCAAATCCAATGATGACATACTCTAAACATTCCTCGATGTCTTCATCCATGGCTTTATTGGCTTCATCAACGTCAGCGTTTTGCTTTTCTTGTTCTTGCTTGCGTTTTTCACGTTCCTCTGTTTGACAACGATTAATAGAAATATAATTAAAATTCACTTAACAGCAGAATAAAACCGAAATTTACCTTTATATTGGTGAGGCATTAAAGTCTTCTCGACATAGTCGGTCATGTTTAGTAGCATGGGGAATGAGAAATGCGTATTAACCTTCTCTTTTAACATTGTTACCATGTTGAATGTATACCGCATCGTGTTGAAACACAAAATTTGCGGTAGCTTTTTGAAACAGGCGCGCTTCTCAGCTCGAACTTTTTTGCCACACTGTGAGCATGTGTACATATTATCACCCTCAAGCGTGTCTTTGACGGTGACCTCATCCAGTGACTCTTGTAGGTTACGCATATCAGCAACTTGGCAACGTACTGTATAGAATTCCTCAGCCGTTCGTGAAACGTGTCCACAGTCAAGAGAGACTACATTGTTGCTCAAAGTACCACAAAACAGACGTTTTACAAGATCTTTCAATTCTGGTGTCATCTCTTCCAACTTGGACACTAGATCTATAAAGAATTCTGCCATATCCTTTTGCTCGCCAGTATTTAATGGTTGATGATCCATCTGATATACTCGACAGAAGGAACGTGGATTATACGCTTTACGTTCAGACTCGAGTAAATATGCGAACATGCGTTGCAACTCCAAGAGTGTTGGTCCATGTTTCTGAGCGCCTGTCGGCGGTACATTCAGAATAGCAGCACGTGCTTGCGGCATCATATAGAGATGTTGTATGCAAGAGGCCATGTAACAAGTAGCCCCTAAATTCGTCAAACCAACGTAGCCACACTCGGAGCGGCCTTCATCACGTGGCCAATAATCCCATGGGTATGGAGCTTTGGCACCAGGTGTGTGTTGTGCCAAAAGCTTCGCATGCAAAAATACATAATTTTTAGGACAGTTTTTGCATAACTCCACCAATAAGTCGTATGCTGCTGCACGTGATGTGGCCGATTTGCACTTCGGCTTATGTCGATTCATCGGCGATGGCATGTCGAAGAGAAATTCAAAAATTTTATCTATGAACTGTAGTGCTGGACTGCTGAACTTGAATGTTGGATCATATTTTACGAAATTAGACATTAGATTGATGAGTCCCACAAGGCCGTCGTCCTATTGAAAAAAGATTTTGACATGTGAAAATATATGATGATAGGAAGTGCATATATTAAAAAAATAGTAATTGCTCTTATTAATATTACTGTTAACTTTATTAACTCTGAAAGACCGATTTTTCAGGAAGATATTGACAGCTGTTAGTGTGTTGGCATAAGCTCTTAGTTAATGACGCATTAGAAGTTTAATATAGTCAACTTTAGCAAACTAACTAAACGAGTATGTTTACCTGATAGCCATGCCTGGTTTCAAAGAAATCTCGTGTCAATATACTTTGTGAAACGGACTGACACAATCGTTCAATATCGATAGCCTCTCCATCGCATTCATCTTCCAGCGAGCATTTCACCATGTCCGGTGTCATTGTGTCAACAAGCCGTGCGAGCAACCAAAAGTAATCACGGCATGCTGGTCCGTACGGTTCCTTGCCCTCGTCCGACAATAAATATTGAGTGTGTTGCACATACGATGTCATCTTCTCAGCAAGCGGCAAGAAGGAAATAAGTTTGCGGAGTAGTGGCGCTAAAAGCACTTGATAACTCTGCGCATTACCTAAACAAATGCGATAGAGACCAGCGCATATTTCACGTCTTACCGCAGGCTCTGGATCTTCCAATATGAATTTTTGTACCCAATTACAATAATCTGGCTGAGTCCATAGTAGTCGTCTTGCTTCTGCCGATGCATGAACAAAGCTTACCATAATATTCATAGTGAATTGAACCACTTGAGCTCTTCCCCAGAATCCGGTACGCATATGATGATATTGGTAAGGAAATTGGTATTGAAACTGCGTAGTTGGAATAAGCGCCGCATAGTTATGATATGCCTCATCATTGAGTATCGATGCCAATCTACGCAGACATGGATCAACGTTCATTAGTTCCAGCATGAAAGCATGTGGACGCGAGATAACAACATGCATATCTTCGGCTTGAACTTCTTCGAAGCCCAAAAGCCAGAGGACGCGTAGCAGGCTGGCCAAACAATCGTGACGCCACTCATTAAGCATTTCGTGTGGATGTGCGCTTTGTTGCAATTGTCCAGAAATGAATATTTCATAGAGCAAACGTAAGCCACCGCACCGCACGAATACCTCACTCCATTTTAACTCATTTGCTATGCGAGTATTTGCAGCAGATGATGCATTTGAACCACAGCTTACGCTATTACCACTTGAGATGGCAGTACTGCTTCCGGAATCGACGGCGCTGATAACAAGTCGACCCTCTTTATCATCGTTCAAATTAGCATTGCTATCGCTGCGTTTCAGACGCTTATGCGGTCGACCCTCTGTCGGTTGATTGTTTTCCTTGTCATGATTGGGCGTATCATCGCTTGCCACATCATCACTGGCACTGCCAGCATCCTTTTGCACAACGCTTTCGTAGTTATCCTTCTGGGATAAGGATTCCAATGCGGTATTTGCACTACTACCACTGCCACTGCCACTGCCACTTGCACTGCAACTACTACTTCCGCCACTGCTATTACCACTACTGTTACGTTTATTTTCTTCTTTTGCATTCGAGTTTTCATTACTATTTCGTCGTCGGCTTGAGCTCCGTTTCGAAGAGCTGGTGCCGCCTTTACTACTGCGCACGTACTGGTCCATTGATACCACATTGCCGTTAACTGCACCGCCTCCCAAACCACAACACGTCGAATTATTGCCTCCACCACCCTTTTGCTGTAACACGCTATTCAAAGTGAGACTCTCAACAATATGCAAAGAGTACATGAATTTTTGCAAATTACATGGGTCAAGTAATTCATTTAATTTCTGCTTAATCTCCTTTCGCTTATTAGCTTGCTCCTCTTCGTTAGAAAGTCGTTCGAAGTCATTCAAGTCATTGCTAAGGCCCTTAAAAGCATCGAGAATTAAGGGATTAGTTGCCAACATGGCCAAGATCTCCCAAACACGTCTAGAGAGGAGTTGTGATTTGTGGTACAATGGTAAATTTGAATTACTCGGCTTCATATCGCCCAGTGTCTGCATTAGACAGAACAGTTTTTCAAAATAGCGTGGTTGCAGTAATAATACTGTTGGTAGACATTCTTTCGGCGGTGGTGGCTGCATGGATGGATGATCCAGGTTCGTTTCTTTGCGTCTGGCACCTCGGCCACCCAAAGATACATAAACAATCTAAAATAAATGAGTTATTATGGAAATAAATAAATAAAAAACGTAAATTAACCTGATTATCCTTGAATCCTGCATCGCCCAAACTACGCTCGTCATAGTCCGATGTCAATTCTTGGCCCTGAGTAATAATGCGTAGCGGACCGTCGCTCAATAGAAGACCTAAAACTGGTGCCGATACACCACTACTACTGGTGCTGACCTGCAGATTTTCCCACCTTGACCATGTCAAAAAAGAAGTCGTGAGTTAACCATCAAATAAAAACCAATTAAATCCGCAACATACCATTTTGAGATTTCAGCTTTAAGTTCGGCAATCAAATCACACGCATGCATGTGCAGGACGGATTTTTCGGACAGGCCAGCCGGTTGCAACACTATACGGATGGCCGGTCCAACGGCTTCATTCTTTAAATTACTGTGCGAACAGACGCCTTTTCCCTCGATGGCCCATCGGCGCAAATGGAACGCATAACGCCGACGAAATGTCTCCAAATGTGTATTGAGCAGCATCAGGCCACGCTGGACACACATCAATGCATTTTCATCTTCGTTGTTGCTGTAAAGAATTAATTTGATATATTATTTTTAAACTACATATATATATCTAAGCTACACAAACCTTTCGAGGGTAATTGTTGCCTGAACCAAATGATCCATACATTGTGATACGAATTCTTTCTCTAACCGTAACTGTTGTCCCATATAATACATATTGATGTATTGAATGGCGGCCAGGGAAACTTCCGTATTGTGAGCGCGTAGTGCGATTTTCCACAGATGATACATGCCTACTATGTTGGATGATGTCGATGATATTGAGTCGGTTTGTTTCTCATAATGAGCAATTGCCATGCGCGCTAAACTGCAAAGCTGTTGAAAGAGGCCGAGTGCCACCATGGAAAAGTCTTCTGGTCGCAGTTCGGGCAACTTCTTTAAATATAAATGTTGTAGGGCATCAATACCTAAAGCATGCTGATCACCCCCTTTGGCCTGGCTCTGCAACCAAGAGAAATAGCAGTCTGCGCATTCGCTGTCGTGTGCCAGCCATTCCCATAATGCATCCACTTGCTCCAGTGTTAAACTTTAAGATTTATTAAAGTTAATGTGTAAATTAACAAATAAAAAAAATATAATAAAAATATTTTTGCAAAAATATACGCTATATATTCATAAGTATTAGATTATGAGATCGACTTGTGAACTTGTGTGTGTAATGCTGAAAAGTTCTCATTCCGCAACAAAGTGCAGTGCAATGGATCCATCGCCTTTCACATAGAGAGTAGATTTGGTTTTTGATCTGTTCTTGTCATTTCTGTTAGGCACTATTCATATTTCACGGATAAGGTGGCAGATTGACCAGTTTTGTGTAATTTAAATTATCGATCATGGTGTGTCTGAGAATTTCGGGAAAGGCCAAAGTGGCCTTTCTTATACGATTTTTGGAAATAAACAAGGTTCGATTTTGCCTATTTACAATGTTGACTTAATGTATATTGAGCACAGAAGGCATTAAAGTATAATATCTCACTTTTGCTTTTGGCTTTGTGAAATCAAAATTGCTAATAGTTTACGCGGTAGAAACTCGCTTAACTGAAAATTCTTTTCACTACAGGATAATCCATTCAACTGTTTAATACTTTAAATGATGTTAAAAGGATATTTAAATAATTAATTTGGAGAGGGAAAAAATAAACGTATTTTACTATGGAATATTTAGATTAATCTTAAAATATTTAATCGAAAAGGGAAGAGATGAATTTGTTTCGGTTAAAAATGCGGGAATTTAATTCTAAAAAAAAAATATTTATTTTTGTATGAGGTCTTTTATCGCTTTTTTGGACAATAATTCTGATGACGATGTGAAATTCTGAGTTCGTATATTTTTCTATATATTGATTTGCTTGTTTAGACTTAAACAGTTTGCATATAATTATTTCAAAATAAAAAACAGTTTCATATAAAATCAATTGTACCATTTTCCATATTTAAATATTTTATGTAAAAGTAGAATGTAGAAAACTCACCGAAAAGTTTTTGGCGATCCAAGAGTTGAAAATATGGAGGACAAGAAATGTAAACGTACAGAGACTTGTGTCTTATGTGAGTACATTAATGCTTCAGGCGGAGTTTCGCCGCCACTACCACCAACACTAGCTAACCTGCTTTGCAGCTCTTCATGGCGTTTAGCATAAAATTTTATATTATTAAAGAAATGGTACATCATTCGATGCTGTCGTTCAGCCCACATTGTCACATGATGTGTGTCAGCGGGCCGAAAATGTTGGAACGATGCAAACAGCTTAGGCAATAAACGCAGACTCACTACGACACTCCGGTTGCTAGCAAGATTTTGTAGGCAACCCTCTATAAATTTAGTGCGCAACTGGCGATCCATACTAAAGCATAGTAAAGTGGCAAGGGCTTTTTCAGCCTCTAACGCTAGAGTTTCACCTAATTGATACTAAATATTTAAATAAATAAAAAACAAATATATATATATATATCAATTAAAGTGTGTCAAACATATTTGAATATTATTAAAATTATTCTTACAATTTTATCATCCTGCAACAAATCCCAAAGTAAGGTATTGCCCGGCTGACAAACATCGTTAATTTTGAACGTAGGCTGTTGTGGTTGGGGCGGTGTCTGTTGCGGCGACAATGGTATTGCTTGTCCATCAGCTTGTGGTCCCCGCACTGTAAGCTGACCCTGCGGCGATATTGCCTTAACACTATTCCCCAACATATCAACGTCGGCTGCTTCGCCGGTCCGTCGTACCATAACTGCAGCTAATGCTGCTGCTATTGCAGCGGCATTCACATTAGCCACTTGTTGCTGCAAATCGGTATCTACACGTCCAACTGGTGCTGCAGCCCCAGATCCTGCATTCGTAGTTGGATCATTAACGGCCGTAATAGAATCTGCTGTGGATGCTTCTGCTGATTTTTGTTGTAATTGCTGCTGTTGAATACTCGAATGTGCGGCAGCCATAGCTGCAGCCGCAAAAGCCGGCGGCACACAATTATGTGTAACGCGTAATGCATGCAATTGGCTTAGTTCGTCTTCACATGGCGAAACATCTTCATCGTCAAAATCTGCCATATTTTTTTCGGATTTGTTACTCATTGGCGACGAATAACCGTCGATTTCGGCACCGTTAAGCAGTTCGCTAATATGCGTCTCATCAATAGCACGGATATAAGGACCCTCTCCGCGCAAATGTTTTAAAACGGCGTTTGGGACAACTTGACCTCCGGTGTCGCTGCAGTCGTCGCTATCATTTATAGCCTCGCCATCAGCTTCATCAACATCGTCAGCATCATCACTGCTACCATCTTCATCCTCACCTCCATCCCAAATAGCTTCAACAATTTCGTGTGCTAAACGTGTGAGGGGCAAATTGCTATTTTTTCGACGTTTTCGTGACTTTTTACGATGCATTTGTACATCTAATGCAGCCTGGGGTAGGTCATCCTCGCTACTCGAGTTATCAATAATGTTTACAATGCGATGATTTTGCAATCTAAGATATGACAAGTTGTTATCAAAATTAACTAACTAATTCGGTCAATTAAAAACGTTTAACTAAATTACTTTAATATCGTAATTTAAAGATAAAGAAAAAACAAGGAAAAAACATTTTTCTTTTGAGGAAAAATATAAATTTGATACTCACTTCATATCGATCTTTTGATTGATCAAGTTCAAGTCTTCGATGTTAGAGCGACTACCTTTATCTGCAGATAGTTTGCAACAGTTGAGATTAATTTTTTTTAATTTTAGCCAAACTTACCTTCAGGGCTAGCATCGCAAGCGTGGCGTCTATGACGTGCCTGCTTACAAGGAGGCGGTGCGCCGGTGTCGGAGCCAACGTTCTCTATGTCGATAGGACTTTTACGGTTGCCACTTGCTAAACTACTGTCATCACCGTTACCGGGCTCATCATCAGAGTTGCTACCGTCCATGCTACCGCTGTCCGAACTAGAAGCTGTGACATGCGCAGCCAAGAGGTGATCCTGCATCATACTCATTTGAGCACGAGAATTATCTCTTGACCAAATGAGTTTTGTAAGTGCAGATGCAATGTAAATGCTTTGTTCGGTATGTTCTTTCGGGTCCATGCGGCACAGTAATGAGTACAGATGCATAGCTGGACGAGGTGCCAGGTTTTTCACCAAAGCGGGTAATATATCGAATATTGTCTTGGAACAATGTTTGAGCTGCGTAGCTTGCCATATTAATTTGATATGCTCTTCAGTAATTTGATTTTCTACAGCTAGAAAATTCAAAACTACATGAGCCTGCTTTATTACTTCGACATGTAAGTTGGGTCCGAAGAGATGTTGAATAATTTGATTTTCTGTTAACCAGTTTGCAATTTTTTGACCAACGATCTCCACCTCGCCGACAGTCTCAGTGGTGCAGATTTCATTAAAGAGATTAATGTGTGCATTTATTTGTGCCATTCCTATGGAAAATAGCAGAAATGATTGTTAATGAATTTCAAAATTAACTGCTTTCAGTTTTGGTAAATCATAATCACAAAAATTGCTCACCTGCTAAACGCATTGTTAGTGTAGTTGATGTGAAGTACTTGAATGCCAATGCCAGACCCTCTACATCGAAGGAGACGGAGGCATCTAATGGATCGCGAACGGCAGACCAAACAAAATCGGCCATCGCTCGAGTTGCGGCCGAACGTAAATTTTGATCTGATAACTTGCACATATACTGCAAGACACGACTACGCAACGGTACAAACAATTGCACAATGCAACCATAGTTTAGCCATAGTTTAATATTTGAAACAGTGGCGGTTATAGCCTGGGCAGTGGTGACAGGCAGATCAGGTTGTTCGAAGCATAACATCATAGCAGCAAAACCACCAGAATTGCAAAACAATGTTATATTACGTAGCAAATATACAGGTATTTCATTGTCGTGTAAATCGCAGAAAATTGCTAGGTGTTGTGCTTCTTCAGCAGAAATATCATCCAAACGTGCATGTGTGCCATGTTTATAAGCAATGTATAATGGAAAATTTAACAAAAATACTTTAGAAACCAATATGAACAATTTTTCAACTTCGGGTAATATCCATTGCTCCTCAGTCATTTGCGAGTGGGACGATGATGGTGCAGTATTTAAATTAGATTTGTAAGAATTCGATACATCAACGTTCGATGCTAATCCAGCTGCAGACGTATTTCTATTCGATTGCGGTAATCGCATTGATGGTGCTGGCGGTGGCGGTGATGATGGTGCCACTGGCGAAGCGGAATTGCGTGATGGTGATGCGCAAGGCGGAGATGTACTATTATCGCTTTTGGCTTTCTTACAATCTCTTAATTGTTCCGTGCTATTATTATCTTCACGATTGTTTTGTTTTGCACTGTTTTCATCTGAATCCGATTCTTTAACAGACTTATCATCAACCGCTTGATTTTGAGACTGAGTAGGGGTACCAATTGATTGGCCTAAGCTACATGCCGTCAAACGCTTATAGTCATCAATCAAACGAATAATTTGTTTGAGGTGATGAACCGCCAGAACTATCATAGATTGAACCACTAGATTGAAACGCTCAAAATTTTTTGGATCGCGATACAGGCACATGCACTGGCGCTGTGGCCATGCCTGTATATAACCAAAAGCGGTTTCGATCTCACTTTTTAGAAGAATTGAATGTTTCGCATCATTACTAGTTATTCGTACTTCATCTGTAAAAGATTTAATAATAATGCAGTTTACAACGTGATTAGTTGTGTTTGCAACCGGCGGAACTCTATAACAAAAAAAAAGGAAATATAATGTTTTATAACTTACACGACTCCAGTAAATGCAGAAAATCTGAGCAAACGTCACACATTGTTTCCCTTTTGTGATTATTGTAACTCGCCAACTTTTTCGTAGTATAATTGCACTTTACAATTACACTTGTTTGTTGGTGATGGCAATGGAGCAATGCTACCGTTGGCTTGCCTTCTATTCAGCCAAAACGGTAGCTCCGACGCTGTCTTTTTCTGTGCTGTTGTGGTCGTTGCTGCTGCCGTTGTCTCCGATTTTGTATTTGCTGGTGTTTGCCTGTCTCTACAATTATTGCTTGAGCCGAGTTTCTTTGCTTGCTACACTGCCTCGTCGGGATTTTTACTTCTTCGTCTCCCATTTACTTATAAAGATATTGGCAAATCCAGTACCTTGCATTTCAGTTTTCATCAATGCAACAATCTTTTATTTTAATTGAAGCTTTTTACAAAATTACAATTTTTCACACAAGAATTTTTTCCTTTCCTTTCTTCTCGCATAAAATTTTCCTCACTTTTCACTTTTTGACGCTTTTCGGGTATTTTTATTTCTCGCTAAGTTCTCTGCCGTGTATGTTATACCGCGTTGCCAGATGTAATACATACACCACCCACTTGTTATTAAAATTACACTCCATACAAAGCGTTTCAAGCGTTTAATTTATATTTCAGTTATTAGCCTTCATTCGAGTACACAAATAATTATACAAAATTATTGTGTTGTTGCGAAAATGCCAATTCCGGAATGACTAATGACAAGGATATGTTCTAAAGCGCAGATATAGAATGTTGTGTTATAACTTTTTAGAAATCACCAAAGCTGTGTGAGAGCAATAGGTGAAGTATATAAGCAGCAGTTAAGTCTGTTACAAAGTTAACTCCTTGGTGACAAAATGGGTATAAAGTGGTAATATTATATTATAGTAATGGAAAGTTAAGAGCTGTAAAATAAGCTGTTGTGTATAGTAAAGCAAATTGTTATTTATTGAGCGCTAAATAACCGTTGGCTGAGTTCTTTACAACTATGAAATTGTACAATAAAGTTAGAGGCTTCAATTTAACAATTTGGTGATCGAGCTCTTAGGATATGGGAAATCATCGAGGCGTCTTTAGCGAAAATCGTAACAGTATTTTTACATATTGCCTAGTGAATACACTTATTCCTCAGATTAACTATACACAAAGCTTAGGGTTATTACTACAATTGCCTCTGATATCGGCTTAGGTTATGTTATAACTTAGGTCTTAGGTAATATCAGCTTTGTTAATTCCCCATTGCATTCACAGCAGTTTTTTGTAAGGTCCCGAATTCTACATATTTTTATTCCGAGCATAGATTACGAACTAGAGCAATTGATATATAAATATCAATATGAAAAAATTGTTGGTCGTCGAGGTCATTCAGGGCGAATCTATATAAGTAGAGATTGAGTTTGAAATCCGTTCTCGGGGAAATAGTTATTAAAGGCGATGTTTCCAGCAGGTGTTTGCAGCTGGTGTCTGCAAGAATGATCCATGCAGTAGAAGATTCTGCTTACTCATCCTAGCATACGGAGTAGTCGAATTGTTGAATTGCCAAGTAAATTCTCTAACTTTGGTATATCTGCCAAGCTGACGCATCCTTCTGAAAGATTAAGCAGGATGCAGCAGATGTGACTATCTTGCGTAATTGATGTTCCCCGATAATTACATCGGTTTTTGTATGGAGAACACTGAATGTGTTCGTAGTAAATTCCGTTAACCCGAACCTTGATATAAATCGAGGCAATTATTGGCAAGTTCTCTGACGCGAGCATCAGTATAGGTTATCAAGTCATACTATCTTGGCATCGTCTAACTGGGAAGCTACACTTTGACCCTACGGTCGATATCGAATTCTATGGTACTGCATTCCAAACTGTTGTGAACAAGAATTATATCGGACAGGTGTCATATTCCGTTGTACTCTGAACTGACACACGGAACAGCCAGTGTGGGATACTAAGAGCTGCTGAGCTGTTAATGGAAGTCTGCTTGTGGTTACCCATAATTGAGCCCTTAGTGCAACCGTAAGTTCTTCCTTTTTTCGAACAACATCAAGACCATACTAACCTGGGCCGTAAATCATTTAAGCGTATATCGCCTAGGAAATTCAATTTGACTAATCGAGAAGATTTCCACTCCTCTCATCAGCTAGTACTACATCGATTATTTTTAACGCTAAGGTATTTTTATTCATTTGGATGGTATGATATAGGCAATTTAATGCTGTTAAACAGAGCGATTACATAAATGGGTAAAATAAGAAGGGTAAAAAAAATCGGGTCTTTTGTCAAAAAGTATATTATTGAAAACTCTGGACATGGCCAACTATGAAACTGGCAACAGCTTTGTCAGATAGGCTGAAGTGAAACTTTCGTTTTCACCAAGTTCTAGTTATTTAACTCCCGGTTAGTTAGTTATTTAACTCCTGGTTAGTTTGATCATTAAGGTAAATTCACAAAAATTATGGTTGTCGATACATCAAAACTGGATGACTACTGGTGCTTGCTTACATTTTTCGATATGATTGAGTAATTCTTAAGATCTTCCGTTTTCACTTTTCTTTTTCTCAATTTTATTTTGTGGTTAAGGAAAAAAAATTTATTTCAATGAAGTTTATTTCATATACTTTTATTTGGGAAGAAGGACTTTGTTTACATGTATAAAATGTATGTCATATATTTATATGGTTTCTTTGTACCTCAGCTATGTTTTCGTCGGCATCAACGGATGTTTCTGCTGGTTCATTAGCTTCAACTTCTACCTCATCCAAATTAGAGTCATTCTAAATAGTAAAATTGTGCAACACTCTACAGGCAATAATGACGTTCATAGTTGTGCTGAGCGAAACTCTCAATCCACATCTGCTCGATATGCGATTTCGAGTACGGATATTCATTATAAAGACTTTCAGCGCGAAGATTGGCATGTAAAAGTTGGCACATCATGTAGTTGCTGGCAAACCATAACCACTACCACCACGTCACTTGCATACAAAGTCCATTACTTCCATTCTACAAGTACCCTTATCCGCTTCGAAAACTTTTGGCACTTTCTTCTCCATTGGATTCTGACCTGAGTGTAATCTAAACACCTCAATAACTTTGGAAACTTCGCTATTCGGTGATATGTGTACATTGCGCTCTCAGTGTGCTGCGGTAGCAATGGATACTATTTATTTGTTTACCGCACTTCTTTCCCTGTAAATACGTATCTGAATCAACGCAATCAGATAGGCAGTGCATTCCATATTTCCCATAATAAAAATTATTTTAAAACCAAAGCCGGCATACCATTTTATTTATTATCTATAATTTCCAGCTGTCAAATTATCCTCTGGTGAAGAGCTAATCGCCACTCAATGTTGGCGTTAAGTTAACCCCAACGTAATTGACAGATGCGCCTTAACCGGACATTGCGAAAACGAATTTTATGCTGCCTTCCGATTAAGTTATGATTAAATGCTTAACCGTAGGTAGTGAAAACGGCCCTTAAAGTATAAACGTAAGATTTATGTAAAGCACGTGCAAGCATTTTATTTCGTAAACATTATTATGTAATTATAGGATATTTTTGGTAACGAAAATTTTTTTTAATTGCGTGTGTTTTTAACTCTACTGTAAATTTGATGTTGCATGTACGAGCTTGTGGCGACGATTATGACATACATAAATGACTGCGTATATTTCGACCCGGTATCATTCTTCAATCATGTTAACAAATTGGTGGCGATCTTTCCATCTTGCGGCAGATAAGAAATTTGTCTGAAAGAATTTGGGGAAACGGATGATACCAATTTTTGAAAAGTAACTTCTTAACGAGTTTTACGAACTTTGAGAGGGAAAATATACGCCAAGAAGTATGCTGCTAAATTAATAAAAAATATTTATAATATTTTATGTACATAAGAATTTATTCTTTCATGGCTTTGCCCTGAATGACTGGCGGATCAACCATCAGTTTAAACGACTGGTCGAAGAAGTCCGAAACTTGGAAGGTGTGTTCTGCTTATAACTTATAAACCCCATAGCAAATGGTTTTCCCTGATGTGTGCTTGGGACCGATCTATTTGAAAATATCAAATTTATTTTAAAATTCTTCGATTTATAAGAAAATTTGCTACACATGTTACTCTTTGCCTGAATTGATATTGGGTGCACTGACGGATCAACGCACAGCCTAAACCATTGATCCTAAAGATCTGAAACTAAGAGAGTGAGAATGATTTTCTGTGGTGTGACTTTGGGACCGATCTAAATATTCGAAAAAATCGAAATTATTTTTAAATCGTTCGAATTGCATGAAATTTAGTACATGGGAAGCACGTTTTATTCTGGGAAGTGGCCTTGGTCGTTTGGTTTACATAAAATTTGGTACAGAGGTTGCTGTGGGTCTAAATTGATTGGGGGAATACTTTTGACAATTAGCTGATAACGAAATGTCAAAATTGCGTTCGCTTAGTACAAACTTTACTGACTTTCGGTCCCGCCAAACGCGGTTCCAGTACCAACGAAACGAAACTGACTTAATTTCATTTTCATAGATTTTCTGTATACGAGCTTAAATCTCATTAGGTATTTGCAACTTCGTTAAGTGTCTTTAAGATTACTCTAATATAGACGATGTGATCCAAAAAATATTTGCAGAGAACGAGCTGGTAGCGAAACGTCGATTGGTCCAAAAGTACACTACAGGGAGGTACTTATTGGACTACACCAACGGATCATATGGCCCACAAATGTTTGCTGGGTAATCCCAAATTGTGCGAGAGTATTAGTGAACCCATCAGGTCGCTCTTGCAGTGCTGTTAAACAACTTTTTTGCCAACTTTTACTATATCCTGTTCGCAGTAAGACATCTTACTCTCTCAACTTTATAAATAAAAAATAAGCTAAATATTCTAATTGCCAACAACACCTCCGAGTTTATTTCGGACATGAATATCGAAAGCTCCTCATAAGAAAACCATCAGCCGTTCGGAGGCGGCTTAATATAAACTGTAGGCTCCTCCATTTGTTGGAAAAGCATCAAGACGCAAAACCAC